CGCTAAAACAAATGAACGGATAGAGCCAAAACCTATAGGAAATCCAACATTGAGAACGACACATCAAATACAGACCTGCGTGTCAAGCCTCATCATACACATGCATCTTCACCATTGCATTCAAAAGTCTCTCACACTCCAACTAACTTTTTTAGTTTGATGTTTGCCATCCTCCCAAACCAAAGCACTTGTAACGTGTTTCACAAGATATCGAGAAGAGCTAAAATCGATTTCAAGAACACTTACACCGGAAACCGTGTTTACAGCCCCGAGTCGATATTGAGCATGGGCCACGGTACTTCATCCACAGACCCCTTGTCAGTGACAATATCCCTAACTGGATAAAGAAGAAACAAGTTGGTTTGCTCATGTCAGTTTTCCATCTTCCAGCCCTGTGCATGAAGAATCCATTATACACATCGGTCCAATATCACGACTTGAAACTGTATCCATGGAGCTGCTGACGCAAAATGTGCCCATGTTTTCGCCGTGAGTGCGCCCCCAGTGATGGAGTAGAACACAGGCATTTTGTACACGGGAAGTTGTGTCTGGAACGAGACAGTTTATCAGTTGAAGTCCGTTGACTGATACGACGGATGAAAAATATACCTGACAGAGAATCCGATTAAACCTGCACACAGTATGATAGTAACACTTAAAAAAAAAAAAAATATGCTTTTGGTAAGGTTGTACCATGGTTGGACTTAGCAACGACCAGTGCAATCTGGTTTAATGGTTAGGTCAAACGGTAAGGACATGATCTGCAAAACAGTGCTTCGATTTCGATGCTTTATCGTAAAAGTACTGGTCAAAACACCACAACGAGAGTATGATTAAGATTGTGTCCTTAAGGAGGATGTTTTGTCTCAATTGTTCGAAAATGCGTATAGATAAGAGCAAGATGGACTCATTTAAAGTTTTTGGAAAATATGGACTGAGCAAAAGATGACTGGAAACATTATGACATTTTACCCTTCTTGTTTGTACGATAACATTATGGGGCGCATCTAATGGGGCGCATCTATGTCCCATTTTATCACTTCCGTCCCAAAGCTATCCACCAGCCTGTATAAAAAGATAATGACTAAAGCTGATTTAATAATATCGTAACAATTCTTAGAAGTCTTGTTCAGTGGTAGGTGGCAACCTCGTAAACCAATTTTCTCGGGTTGTAGACAATTAAGGCACTTACACTAGTCGATTTCCATATCGCTATCCGTCACCAAATGCCATGTTCTAGGACACCGACCCCCAAACCGAATCAGCAATTCATATACACTGTGCCAAAAAGCCCAGAAAGCTTCGACACAGAGACTTTTTCACACCCATTTTACCCCTGGGTGCGGCCCTAGCCGAGTCCTGACCATCTGTATACGCCAGAAGATCGCTCTCTATACCAAGCCAAAACCCATCCGTTGATGAGCGTATATAGATGGTGTTTTCTTATCTTAACTCTCTCTTCCTTCTCCCGGCGGAAAGTCCTCGCTAGGAGAAGAGCGCGCTTTTACACATACAGCCACTTGAGGTATGATATAGAAAACAAGGCCAGGGATAATAAATTGGAGGCAAAATGCGTTTGCTCATTTCCAACGATTCCCAGTAGGAATGTGCCACGAGGGGCAGATATTGCTGGACCAAACATGACCGTAAAAACTGTTGTGTTTAAAGGGGCAATCAAGACCAATTCGAAAAGGTACATGCAAACTCAGGAACATCTCATGCAAAACATCGATCAACCGATCAAGAATTAAAAACCGACCTATTTAAACTATCGTGTCGTTGGCGTATGGGACTATCAAACAAATGCAAAATCATAAAAGTATATCCGAAAAGGCCCTTCCTATTAATTAATACAGATAATTAAATTTACAAGACGATAAGAAATAGCGTTTGCCGTAACTCCACAAAATCTTTCAGCTTATTAGAGTAAAATAGCTTTTGACAAACCAAAAATTCAGGTTCTGACTTAATTGGAGCTTTTTCATCTTCCCAAAATGAGCGTATACCTTTAATTAAAAAAAAGAGGTACTGTACTCGTTGGCAACATAGAAATTCACGCACGTCTACTCGCCGCAACGCGCCAGTCTTGTTGGCAGTGGGGCCCCCAACGGCTCGTACGTGTTCATTTCATACATGGTTGATTTTTCTCCGTCCTCTGGTAAAGCATACAGAGGCTCTGTGTCTGGTGGAGAGTGTATGGGTCCCACAAGTCTTCGATTAATTAGCATAGCGTTATGGTTTGGCCTATTATGGCTTCCACCCCGGCGAGAAGTGTCAAAAAGCCTGGTATTGCACTTGGGTCTGTAATTTGGGGGAGAAAATTGCCTCCACACACCGCTGCCTGATGAGGAGACGGACATAGAAAGTGAATTAGGAGCAAGAATTGGGTAGGTTAACGCCGATGTGAAGGGGGAGCAGAAAGGTGTTTCATTGAAATTAAATTTCATCTTTTTTGTTTTTGTTTAGCCCAAAGATGTTTACATTTTTAGTAAGAGAAAGGTTGAATGCAAGATGCTGTTTGAATGTGGAGAAAGTTCAGCCTGTGCTATGTGAGTACAATATGCAACATAAGTAAACATCACATTACATAATCATCGTGCAGCAGTATGCAGAACCAGCAAATTAGAGGGGTAAAGACGGTAGTGATTCGCCCACATTCTTTTTTTTGGGGGGGGGGGGGGAGAGAAAAGGTAGCCTACAGGTAGTTTTCTCGTTCGTACTCATTTTTCTCTCTCAAGGTTTGATAAATTAAACGTCAAAACTTCCTGTTGCTCAATAATGCAAATGTTCACCATGTTATTTCTCGATAACGCTAATTATACTACACATAGATCATTAGACAAAACAACACCACATTGACGTTACAGTCAATATGTAACAAATGAATCCTAGACGTTGTCACTATGTAATTTCTCCACACGAAAAGAAAAATGCAAAAACATGATCGTGTGCACATGATGGCGGATTCATGACAACCACGGAAGCAGAGCCCTCAGCGAGCGTGTTCCGAGTTGTTACCAACACCCGTCCCCCTGTACTGCCTCCCTCCCCCACGGCTCAGGGGCTTTTGTCCGTTCACCTGTCGCACCGCTCCAGCCATCGATTTGGGTCTTCCGCTTAACGGATGTAGTGTGACACGGCTACGGATGTGGCGCCCGGATGTAATCCGTTTAACTGACACACGAAAACATGGGTTTTTATGAACTGAATGTTAATAATTACGAGTGCTTTCTTAAATTTAATTTGGCTCGAGAATTTGCGACGTTAAGGAACTGCCAAAAGGATAAGCGTTATACATTAACCTTCATCCCACCAGTACCGACTGAATCAACAGGACGCCTTAAGCAAACAAGTTAAAGAACCATTCGCGAACCGGCCGTCGAATATGACACCTGAATACAATGGGTTTAAGATGAACATTAAGGTGATCACTATCATCACTTACCCACTCTTAAGCTGTCTCAAGACGAACCTGATGATGCACATCAATTCTGCATCCATGTAGACTCTGTTTCAGCAAGATCCATTTTGACATTACCTGTTGTACGAAAAACGAAACAAAAAAGCTCAATATTTTGTGATTGAAAAAAGGTTTCCTATTATACTTCGACTTGAGTTTTAGTGATTGGTCACACATAAGTTCATACACACTGGTAAAACATAAGTGCAAGACGTTCACTTTCCAACCTCAAACAATACATTATTTTCTAAATGATCTCTCTGTTTCTGTCTTGCCTTGATCAGATCTTTGATCTGTTTTTGCCTTTAATCAGACATTGATTAAAAACAAGTGGCGGAGGGTTCACAGTGAGACCTTGGTGGTTGCCATTGGTTATCGTGTCGCGACAACCGTGGTAATTGGGACATGGCTATCGATTTGATACTAATTCATTTTTTGTGCTCTGTTGATCTGTGCAATGGGAGGTATACTGGGGATAATCACACATCTTCTATAACCGCTACAAAAATGTTTGAAATGAACTTGAAGGTTTCTCCTGATCCGAGGGAATGATTTCTCTTTCCTCTATTAAAACGGTCTGTTCTGTTCAACATTTCAATTTGAAAGTCCGCTTTTATTTATGCGACAATGACAACTTGCAGACAGACTGATCAGATGGTAAGCCTTTATTGGTTCCCATCACGATAGCTTTCAGTCAATGATTTTGTTTTTTTGACTAACAAAGTAAAACATGTGAATCTGTTGATTATATGAACTATTAGGAAAAAATGAGGTGTGCTTCTTTTTAGGAAATAAACTATTGAAATGAAATTTGAAGAAATTACATAGAGCTTGGCAGGATACTATTTGCATTTTTGCATATTTTAGAAACGTTATCTTTTGATATTGTAATAAATTAGTTGCTTTTACTTTGACGACATGTATATACCGAGAATGACCTAATGCCCAGTGACTTTTTAAAAACTCGTTTTTATTTACAATGACAGATGCAGTGTGACACGAGGTCATTATAATATAATTAGCTCCAGCCTATATTTTTGGGATAAGTTAGTTCTTCATCGAGAGGTAAACACATTGCGTATTGGGAACGATATGGAGATTATATCCCCTGAGCTGGAGGAGATGTATCCTCAGGCTCCTATTTTCAGGGAACTTTGGAACGTGTTTGTGGATAAATTTTCGGGGTAACTTGTGCCTCTCTACTTGTGAGTCACAGGGCATAGAAGCCATCCTGCTCGGTCGAGGGCAGCAGAGGCGTCAAAGCGAGCAGCAGCGCCGACCACCAGTCGATAATTCCCCGGTGACTTCCCGTCGCTCGCCCGCTGTCGCTCGCCCGGCCAAGACCGGCGGTCCGATATCAAATACATTTGTCACTTCGGTGGTTTTACCGTCACTGTGCATAATGAGCGCGTACTGCGCGCGCGCCGCTCCGGCGGCCAATCAGAACGTGAGAAGCGAAACAGGTGCATGCATAATACCCAGCGCAGTGCGCCTGCGCCGTACTATAAACCAATGAATACATTTCGAGAGGGGTGCTTGCAGGTGTATACAAGGGCCGCACGAATTAATAGTTACAGAGAGAGTGAAAGCGCGCTACCGAGTAAACACTGCCCTGAAACACACATCCAAGGCATATATCGACGCGGGTTTAGTAAGGAAGGAACGGCTGGAAAAACCTGAAATATTCACAGAGAGAGGTCTCGCCAAACATTACGGTGGCGTCAATACAGAGTTACGGTGGAAGTTGGAGGACACAGGGCGTTGTCATGAATGTAAAGGACCATGTGAGTATGCATCCACCCATACCAGCGGCTCCTAAGTACTCGCCACTTCACCATAGGCATCATGACCGGGGAGCTGAGATGATGAGACGCCACTGCATGAGCAATGCTCCGGTGAGTTACTTTGCAAATTATCAACTTTTCCTTACCAAACTCATGTCTTGTAAACATTTTGCCTAGCTTGGAAAATGTCAGAATCGAATGAAGTTTTGGGCATTTTATGTTTCTTTTTAGTAGAAAAGTCCTTAAATTTTCCATACAGCTATGGATATTATCTATAGAAAAAACTGAGATAAAAAGTTTCAGTTGTGTTATTAATTCTTTATGAGAGGTTGTATTTCAATATTACATGTATTTAAATAGCGTACATCATACATCTAAACAGTATGAGAATAGTTCTACTACGATCACAAGTATCAAAACCTGTGAGCATCTCGAAAACTCGCATTATAAGTTACATACATGTATATGTATCCTTTGCGACCAAACCACTCTGATATAATTTTGTTTAGAAGTAATAGGATGATTATATAAATCAGCAAAATAACGAACAATAAATGAATAACTCCAGACAAAAAAGTGATATTTAAAAATACATGAATAATGAGGAAAGTATATATCTAACTTTGGTAGTAGTGCAAGTGAGACTGGACCTCCCCTTCGGTGTATTTATCACTTACTGATGCGGAGGGTCACTCGGTAGTACAACCGACCGGTCATACGACACCAAGACCGGCAAACCTAAACCAATCCTTTGAATAATACATAAACTTGGGCCAATCTCCAGTCAACTTTCAAGCCGTTCCACTGCCGTGTGTTCGCATACAGGGGACGACCCCTCAGCTCCTCATATCTTTCACTAAACGGCGGCAATTACGCGTGTGTCCTCCTTTATTATGCATAACGTTTGTCCATATTTTATGAATTCGTATTAGCACAGGTTTGGCTTTGGCATTTCCCAGTCACGGCACTTTCTGATAAGTCCCGTGCATAACTAAAGGGGTCCCACATATCAATGATATCAATATATTCCGGAGTTTTACTTTGCCATGGCATAACAAGATGTCATATTTACTATGACTTTCTTTTCAAGGGTTCTTTTTTTCGCGCTCAACCAATTTGCCAAATTCACTCCTTCGTTTTACAAAACGTAAAGGAAAGTTTGCGATTTATTTCTTTCGAATTAATTAAATCATAACTGTCTTTCTATTAAATGTTTTACTATTCTGGCGGTCTTAATTTGCGTACAAAGATATGGACTTGATAGTGAGCATTCTATATCATTAATGGGTACGCCTCACAACACATTAATATGACAAATAATACTTTTCTTTATTACAACCGAATATTTGGAAAATAACAGCATCAAATAATCGTACGAGATCCATCCATTCAAGAAATTAATTTGAACCTGTAGAATTGTTTTTTAATTTCGTTTTATTTACTGAAAGCCCTTTTTCAGAAAAGCAAATTTGCTATTTTCATATTTTTTGTATGAAAGTGTTTAACATTAAATGACTTTATATATAGGTGATGATGAATATATTATGTAATGATGCAAATATTGTGTAACTTTTGAAACATACACAGTTTGCAGCAGCGTTTCTCTACATATTCCGAGTCGTGTTAATACCTGTACCCAAAAGAAACCGAATACCTGTGTAAACCATTACAAGACGGCCTGCACTGTAATCATATTCATGACTTTTTCCCTACTATTTTTACTGCTCAAACATTGCTTTCCGGATTGGGTTACACGTGTTTGATCTTCGGTTTGCAATCAGAGGGTCGATACGAGAAATTGATGTTGATAATAACTGTCATCTTCACAGCTGGGTCATGTTTGCGAGTCTGTGTCTATCATAATAATTATTGTTATCTACTGCCGACAACAGCTTACTTGATTGTGTTATTTTTTTCATAAAAATAGTGCCATTTAACTTCCGGTATTGTTTTGTTGCAAAGGTTTATTGTATTTCCAAGTACGTCCACTTTGGATTTCACTGGAAAAGTCCATTCAAAATGTTTCACATTTCTTAGGGATTTTATTTTTATCTGATGCAAAATAAATGTTTTGGGCGTATCAAAGCACAGAACCTTCCCTGGAAAGCGATAACGACATAAGTTTAATCTCATTTCAAATGTATACGAAAAGAATTATCATCTTTGTTCCTCATTATGTTCTATTGTAATTTGGTAAAATATTGCCTCTCATTTCATGAGATTATATTGAGTTTTCTTTTTCTTTATTTTTTCTTTGTCACAGAGCAATCTCTTCGGAGGTATTGACGAGGGTCTCTTGGCTCGGGCAGAAGCCCTAGCTGCGGTCGATGTCATGTCCTCCATGGTCAAAAACAACCAGACTCACATGAACATCAAGAACGACCATGTCTCCAACTACTCCCCTCACCACATGAACGGCGGCATGCACCCTGCGTCCCACCACTACGGTAGCGGGACATCGTGCGCATCTCGCAGCATACACGGCCACATGGATCATGGGGAGTTCCTGGATCAAATATCGGCGACTGCCTCGCTACCTGGAGCCACCAACACCAGTCTCTCCGGGGCTGACATGCAGGGGATGGTGGTGGCTTCACCCCACCAGAGCTTCGCTGCCATGTCCGGCCAGCCCGGTCATTTCAACACGGCCCACAGCATGATGTCACATAACATGACTATGCACGACTTGGACACTGATCCCCGTGAGTTGGAGGCGTTTGCCGAACGGTTCAAACAGCGCCGAATCAAGCTTGGGGTGACCCAATGCGATGTGGGGAAAGCCCTGGCCAACCTGAAACTCCCCGGGGTGGGGTCTCTCAGCCAGAGCACGATTTGCAGGTTCGAATCGCTGACCCTAAGTCACAACAACATGATCGCGCTCAAGCCCATCCTGGCCGCCTGGCTGGAGGAGGCAGAGGCCGCGGCCAGAGACAAGAGAAACTCGGCGGGAATCCTCAACAGCATGGAGAAGAAACGCAAGCGGACCAGCATCGCTGCTCCGGAGAAGCGCTCACTGGAAGCTTACTTCGCCGTGCAGCCCCGGCCATCCAGCGAGAAGATCGCTGCCATTGCAGACAAACTGGACTTGAAGAAAAACGTCGTACGGGTCTGGTTCTGCAACCAGAGGCAGAAACAGAAACGTATGAAATTCTCGGCACAACCCAGATGAGACCCTTGAAAAACTGAACATCAACTATATTTATATTATTACCATAATAGGTGAAAAACAGTAACAACGACACCCATGATGATGAACTTTCACCTTTCACGGAACCGATCAATCAATCAATACACGCAGGTCGTCCCCGGACACGGGCATAGAAGAGAAAAGTGCCCAAAGCAAGGCCGAAATTTGGGCACAATTCACGATCAATCCGAACAAGTAACTTCTTGGAATCGTTGGCATCAAAATCTTACGTTTAATCAAAGACGATTTAGTTTAAACCTTGAGGGTCCACTTAGTCAGAACCCCGGGCTGGGACCTGATGGGCAAACTGGCGTGAACATATTTTCAAAATCACTATACTTTCCAATTTGTACCCAAACCAAAACACCGCCATTGAACAAAGCAGCTAATATCAAGGTTTTGGGTAAAACATCCTAATTAGTTTTGTCAACACAAAGCTGAAGAATTTATATTTCGTAATATTGTACAGAATAATAATGATGAGACTGGCTCAGCTGGCTTTGAGGTTGACGCTCGATGATCGCGCCATTTTCTTCTCTTCTTTCCGATCAAAGAGGCCGTAAAGTCCTTGATCACACACCACCATGACACGGTCCACACAATGAGTACAACTTGCACCGTAAAGCTGTTGCTGTGAGCGGATCGATTTGCTCACAAACGCCCGGCGAGGCTTCGGTCTTATACCGGGGAGTGTTAGTAGATATCACGCTAGGTTCGGGCAGTAACTTTATCGATCTAATAGGCTTTCTGTAAAAAAAAAAAGAAACTGTGCAAGGCAAAAAAGCAATCATTACATAGAATTTAATTACAGAATTTTCATTTCTTTTCTGGCAAGCTTGTCAAAAACCAGTGATATTTCATGCTCAGGACTTTGCGAGCCTGTTTCTAAATTGAAGCGACAGTTTTCAGTTGAATTTTAATTTCCAACTGGTGTTTATTGGTAATTTTGCAACAAACAACAACATTTTAATGGTCATTCAACCCCCCCCCCCAATTTAATGGATCACCAATGAATAATCTTTCGCAAACAGCAAGTTTTTTATCAGTTGTTTGATGAAAACATCACCTTAAAGGAGCGAAACTGCAAAATGTCACATTAAAGTAGGCTGCGTTTTCATTTTGCTGTTTTCAACGATGTCTTCATGCAACATGAAAATCGATCATGTTAAGATTAACTGATGTCGGCCCAGCTATTCGAAGAATTGTGAATGTATATCGATAAAAGTGTCGCTGAAGTTAATGCCATAAGTCGCTTCACTTCACACAATGCAGCTTGATTTATGCGACGCTTCACGATGGATTATGATAGGAAAGGTCTCACTTGTACATCAGACATAAGCTAAGGGTTTTAAACTGCATCACAGAAAGGAGTTCATTTTGGGCTAAAATTATTCGTTTTACACCACTGTTTTTACTGGTGTATATTTTACACTTCTTCAAACACATTTTCATAATTTAGTAAAGAGCAATTTGTGTTCGCATCCATACGTTTTCCTCAAGTCAAGTGAACAAAAATAATTATTTAATAACTTGAGTTGTTGGTTACATACTGAGCCGTTCGGTAAATAGCAAAGTGTCAGACACACGCACAGGAGAAGGTTACCAGTCTAACTCGATAAATTCCCGCGTTATCTAACTAGCTTTGACATTCAATTCAAAGATTGAATAGCTGTAATGTGATTGCTGTATAGATTATTTCCTTAGCCACTATATTGCGTCAATTTTTCATCTCAATAATGCCATACCGTGGCCTGCATACTATAACCGTGTTAATCAGCGTCGCTCTCGCTATTTTGCCGTACAATTGGGTAATTTAATTGATGACGGCGGCCATTCGAGTTGGCGCGATGGCCGGCTCTGAGTCATTCCGTTCGTCCCATATAGAATACACTATAACCATTTCGAGACGCGAATGCAGAGACAACAGCAAATTTATCATTCGCATCTGCTAACGAGTTTCGAGGAACGCCAGTTTGGAATCCTTGAACACGCTTGTTTTTATTTCATTTTTTTGGAAGGGTTGATGTTTGATTGGAAATGACCCAGTTGGTGTGGATATAACTCATAATTGTTAAGATCCCGCCAGCTCGCAGGAAATTCCATACGATTATTGTTTTTGACCAGGCTCCATGCCAAAGCACCGGCCGGCCGTATCATTTCTAATTTACCACTGGCTAGGCTCGATCTATCGACGCAACCAAGCGATGGAAATTACCCCGCGGAGTAAGAGTGTGATTGACTCAGCCGGTCATGCGTTGCAGTCGATTCCTTGAGGAATTCTCTTCCTCCTTAATTCCCATCTCCTTGCCTCGGCGCAGGCTATCTCTTCTCCTCAGTTTTCTATCTTTACCTCATTTGGGACGCTTGGGTCGGCACGGAAAACCTATTTCCCTCGTCAACGGAGTGTGTTATCCCCGACGTTGACCAGCTCAAGATAAATCAAACACCTTCTCCACTCGATAATTTCATTTGGGAAGTCCATTTTCTTCTCTGCCTTCTCTGTCTCTTTGCATTTTGATACACAATCCAGATGCGCCAAACTGCCAACGCACGCTCACGAGAAAAGGCAAGCGTAAAACGCACAACAAGCCGCCGGTCCTGCCGAAATTTGTACCGGTCGGTTTTCCGTGCATCTTCGGCACGTTGCTTCGCAGCCTCGTATATACCGATGGGGCTTTCCCCGCGCTAGTTGATGAAATATTCACGATGCTATCGCCCTCACTTTACCGACAGTCAAGTTTGTATTAATTATTTCCAGGTTAAACTATCACTTCGGTTACCAGCAGACGGTGCGTTTGGCAACCTGCACGGAGCGATGTAAAGCTAATGTACTTCATTTCGACACATTCTGTTATATCAGATTCAAATAAAAATGACAGCTGTTACAAAAAAAAATCACCTCCTATATACTAACACATCTTAAATATTAATATGAAAATAAAATTGTGTTTGTATGGTTTGTTGCTGTTAAACAGTTTCAGAAGTTGGTCGTTAAACCTTTCCTGTATCAGTGACAGGATTGGATATGTCTGCGGGTGGTACTTAATTAAGAAGTTACATGCGGAGATTTTGCATATTCATAATGATGCACATTCACACGATGATGTCAAATTTGCAACAGAACCACCTGTTTGATTGAATTAAGATTATTTTTTGAAAGGCAAGATTGTCATGAATCTTCATGGATTTCAAATTTCAAAATACATCGATCTATTTTTTGAAAAGAATGGCAAAGTGGGTTGTAAGCAATCCCAGATAATTTCAGATCATTTCTGTTATCCGATAAAATGACTCGCAATCAGCATAATATCTGATCATCATAAATCCCCTCGACAAAAAAAATAACTTCTGATAAAATTTGAGTACTGAATGAAAAAAGAAAAAAAAACTTACGGTCAGTTCCTCTATTTTCAAATGTCAAACATGTGTAAATACTTTGTAATGAATTATTTATTAATTCTGATACTCGTTTGTTCTCGAGATCTTTTTTTGTTGGCTGGTTTATCAAACCATTTGAAGTATTGTTTATGTAAATAGTTATTGTCGATCGTATAAACATCCAATTTGTTTTGAAAATGGTTTATTTGAAATAAAATGTATTAGCCTGTTTAAATATACACAAAGAATTGGTGTTCATTCGTGATTTATTTTGTTTTCAGTAAGCCAAGGTAGTTTGTTGTTTGTATTTTTTTCAACGAACCATTTTGTTTCAGCTCTGTAATGTAATTTAGAAAGCTTAAATACGTCACACTTCAATACTAATTGCCCTCCAAATTCACTCAAGCAAACATATCTAGGGTTCATTTCTGTAGGGCCTACTTTTTGAGAAATCACATGCGTAAAAGGCGACCATTCCATAACAATTTCTTGCATCTGCTAAGCGGAATTTGTTATTTCGTTAATAGCGATTATCGGCTGGGAACCATGCAGCTGCTATAGACATCAGGTGACTGTTTCGCTGGTCACCTGTTATGCTAAGCACAATATTTTAGTGCTCAGCTGATTTGATTTTTTGGGGCTGTGTTCGCGTGCGAAGATTGGCGGTTGCTCACTCGGATCCAATGTTTCCCCCTCCCTAGGGCTTAAGACATCCAAGGGTCTACATATCTCACACCCAACAACAGCATATCAAGATTCTAAAGCAAGGTGGCCGCTTTAAAGGGTGTGTTTCTTTTAAACTGTTGCAATGAGCACTGGAAATGGGGAAACATTTCTCACAATACTAAATGTGGTGGACGTTGATGAAAGGAAACTTAAACTTGATATCAAAGGGGGGAGGACTACATCAGGAGGCTGTTTTCATTCTACACATTTCTATACAAAGCCACAAATTATGATAGAAGGTCAATATCGCAAAGGCTGTGTAACATGGGCCATATTTTTGCTCTCTCATGCACATTTCTATACAAAGCCACTGAATATGATAAAAGGTCAATATCACAAAGGCTTTGTAACATGGCCCATATTTTTGCTCTCTCATGCAGTCTGTTTACAAAGTTGAATGTCAGGACGGTCCGTAGTAATTAAAACTCATAACAACAAAGAGAACGACTCAGCTGCATTGCATACAAATTAGAGGACGCCAATGAGACCAGCTCAGATGAAGAAAGATATTGGGGGGGGGGGGGGGGGGGGGAATGCTAATTGATACGGCAGATCAGAGGACGCAGCTTATCACATCTCAACAGACAGACATTGTCAATGCCGGATGGTAGAAAACAGCAAACAAACAAAAATTGAATTTGCATACACCAAAACTATAACCAGATCAACAGAGATCGGGACAAACTCGGTTGTGGTCGATGGCCGACTTGAAGGACAATTATTTATGTCCTCTCCTTGACTATTAGAATTCGAAATGTCGCAGGCTGGGGAGATCGCATCACACACCGCGCAGACTCATAGAGGACAAAACCCTGGCGTGATATAGACGGGATCTGTCCAGCCGTCTTAACGCTCCCATCAGTCACAACTTCCGTCATTCATCTGCTAGCTGCGACTAAAACGGGATTCGTCACTCGTTGCCGTGCCTCCCCCACCTGCTCCTACTACGGGGGGAGAAGTGAGCGGTGCTCCCCTGCTTCTTTCTCTGTCTTTCCCTGCTCTCCTCGCAAGCAAGGCATCCCGGATCGGCTTACTAATGAGGCAAAACTGCTGGTTGGATTATGATGAAGCCGAGCGGGCGGATAGATGCGAACACCCGGTGCTGTGTGAGGCAGTGCGGTGTGGTTGGGGGGACCGGTTCTTTGTGGGGGCTGTTTGGGGGTAAAGCGAGGGCGGAAATACGGCGTGGCAGGTGGCAGCGTGTTGCTTGCACGCCCCGTTGATGACAAGACGGCAACGCGACAACACGCACTTGCTATGTATACACAAACCGAGGCACTGCTAACACCGCTTATAAGTATAACGAGCAGTACTCGCATTTTTGGAAAGATCTACACGTATAAATATGTATGCATAAATTTACGAGAAACACATTACCAATTGTACATACCACCTTCAAAGCCCAAAATATTATGATAGAACAAAACACGGGAAGTAGTATACACATTGGGCGTAACGGTAGCTAAGAATCAGGATGAATTATCAATTTCCAGATCAGATATAATACCAAATACGTTTATCACATTTTGACAACATTATGCTGATCTGATCAACAGAAGACATTCTTATCGCACAACAAAACATTCAATCTGATGTTGACACCAAAAAATTCTTATCAAGCCCTTTCCTCCATCATATTCTCTTAAATAACTCTGAAAGAACCCGCGAGCGTATACTTGGCAACAAGCATGAAAACGTCACATGTCTGCAGACTGTTTTGGGGTTTTGTCCACTAATTAAATCTCGAATTCTTCGCAATATTATTTAATTTAATTCTAATTGAATACCCTGAGAACAATCTATCCAAAACGAGCTTATCACTCGAGTTGAAGTATCAGTGAGAATGGTTCTTTTCTTTTACCATGGTGACGGATGACGTTACCACACCAGCAAACGCCGCCAACTAATTTTACTTAATGTGTGTCGCGATCATCGATCGGGCAAGTACAATGAGAAAATTGAATTTCAGGGTCTCAACATGACCAGCGCACAGCCTCACCACTTGCTCATAAACACGCAAAGATCTTGCTCGCGCACCCCGTGCGGTTTTGTGGTATTACGAGTAATTGGACACAGTGTAAATATTGGCCATTCATATTGCCAAAATAATATCCGAGTCCTTTAACAAACACAGGCGAGCACGTGCACGTGTATGACGGCAGCGCGTTCACACGTGGAACGGACGTGCACTGGAAAAAAAGGAAAACAGTTGCTTATTATTCTCGTCCATGACTTGTCGACTCTAGCATCATAAAGTGAAAACTGAAAGATGTTTATGTCAATTTAAAAATGCTATTTTGATTCTAAAACGAAATATAAATGTTGTACACAAAACTTGATTCTCGGATTATATCAGTGGCAGTCATGGGATACTTTGAGTGTCTTGCCTAATGAAGGTCATATGGTTTCGCATTTTGAATCTATTACTCATTAGGCACACCTTTCATTGTAGTGATAGCTCCGTAGGAGCAAAACCGAGATAAACGCGCCAATTTCATGTTGTTTTCTAACGTCCACATCTTGGCCTATAGCTATATGTGTTTGTCGACGTCATCAGTGAAATCTATGCATGTTTTTATGAGGGGGATGTTTGTCTCGTATATTAGAAATGTTGAAGAGGATATTGTACATTAGCTGCACAACACAGTGAAGTATTCAGAGTAGAATGGATGCATGTAAGCTGCAGGGGTCGATGCACTATTGGTGACAGGGTCCCCCAGCCCCATATCTCGTCCATTCCCACTGTATTATGAACAACAGGCTTATTACAATAAAAGTTCAATATTGGATTCAGATAAATGAACAAGGAAAATCAATAAGCTGGAGGCCTAACAACGTTGTTCAGTTTATACTTCAATGAATAATTTGGTCATGTCAAAAAACTACATGTTCCGTCGGATGCAAAAAGGCAATGGCAAATCGTTGCGCCCTCTTCCGGTGAATGAGATGGCGGGCCATTGTTACAGGTACGGTCTGCAATTATGAGAAAATTTTGTTTTGTAATAATGCAAATCATTTATTTATTATTTATTTTTATTTTTCTGTACTAAAACCAAGGATTCCTCAAAAGTGCCCTTAGCACTGTAGCTCGAAAGCTAGAAGCAATCTGTAAAGAGCAGACAATGAGAAGAAATTACAGTTTTAAAAGGTGGGAGGAAAACCCCAGAAGAATATAGGACTGAAAACCCAACCCACGTTTTGATCCAGGAGGGATTCGAACCCGGGTCACAGCGGTGTATGGCGAGGAAACTAACCACTGCGCCAACCTGACTCCCATCAATTCTGTAAGCTATTCTCTTTTTTCCTGTATCCAAGCTGAGGTCACAATTGAAGCCCTCACTGCAAAATTGCCTGGGTTAATTTTACCCAAGAAAAGGTGAAAACTGCAACTACCCAAAATTGGGTTGTTCTATAACCAATAGTTTGGGTTAGAGTTTCTGCTAAATTCAACCAAAGGTTGTAGTCATATAAGATTGTATGACCAAATTTTGGTTGAATTTAGAAGAAATTCTAACCCAAACAATTGGTTACAAAACAACCCAATTTTGGGTAGTTGCATTTTTCACTCTTTCTTGGGTAAAATTAACCCAGGCAATTTCGCAGTGAGCTCCGAGTGGTTTCCAATGCCCACATCTAGAGCAACTATAGAGCCTTCATTTTCTCAATGGGTAATATTCGTCCTCCCTATTACAGCTATCTACCTTTAAGGACTGAACGATTCACACATCGACGTGAATATATGAATGGATATGCGAACTACTCACTGATAATGTTGCTCCCTGGAGCCTGATGAGAACATCTCCTTCATACAGAATTCTCCAGCTTTCTCCTTCTCGTGTTAAGTTGCGTGCCCTGTCCCAGGGATCCTGCTGGGAGAAAAAATGACGGCCGGTCATCTATTTTAAAACAAGACACTGAAAACAATTTTTTTTTGTTATTCACCTGCGGGATCTCATTTATATTTTCCCTTAAGCAAAAGCAATATCCATCTTAATTGACTTCTGAAATTAGCCTGAAGACATGATGGGCCAGGGAGAGTCAGTGCTCGCCAAGAGTGCAATTCTGATGCGATGTTGGGGGAGACCTCGCTATAGTTAGCTCAAAGGGCTATGAAAAAAAAAAAAATATACACAGCTTCAGAAGTTGTAGAGCATAATTTTTAAACACAATCGCGGCTCATAGATGGAGTATATTCAGGAATTGAAATGCCTCCTCCTCCCCCCCCCCAACATCCTCCTAAAGGGTTACATTATGGGCTGGGTATATTCAAAGGCAATATAGCAGCAACTCGATCGAAAGATGATAGCATTATAACACGAAGATGAGGAATTACTGATGTGTGTTTAAGAAATGAAGCCTGATATAAACGAAATTAAGGCTGGCCGTCTCCTGACAGAGCCTTGGTGCCCGCCAGATGTCATTAAGTCATCAAGATGTGCCCGGCATAATTGGAAAAAAATCGAGTCCCGGCGCACAGGGTCCCGTATACACTCGGAGGAACTGCGGTAAATAAAGCGAGTCAAGTCATTACGCTCGCTGAAGCGAGACCGTCCCGCCTGGGAATATTGCCCCCGGAACGATTTCACCGCTGCACGGTGCAAGTAGACTGTGCGATGCACCGTACGCTGCTGACTAGCTCGGCGAGCGGACTTTCTGATACGACCGTATCATCGTCGTAACTCAAGCCTCGCCGATATCTACTCAAGCGAAGGGCGCAAAAACCAACCGATAAAAAGACACTTCGGATGGGTTTATCCAGTCAATTAGAAGGTCGGATGGCGGGTGAGGAAATTCCATTTGTGCACGATTACCATGGTTGAACATGGACCGGGGGAAATCGCTCATTGGGCTGAAGAGGAAGCAAATTATGTTGTCCGTAATGTGGTGATTCCGATCGATAGAGGGTCATTGCCACTTTGCAAAGTCAATGAAAATATCTAGTTTGTTTTTGAAGATGTCCAACAAGCAAATATTATCCGAAGGTCATGTCCTCCGACTCCGAGTATCACCCATTACACTTTTATGAACTTAATAATAAAAGGTAAGACAAAAAGATTTCTAGAAAAATATTTCAAACTTGTATAAAATTAATAATGAAACCGTATTTATTAAAAAAACACCTCCACTGTAAATGCATACACATGTCATATCGTATTGCATCTTACTACAAGTCTCAAGACACGGTAATAAGCGTAAGTCTTCACGCGGCTTTGCAAAAAACATCACAAGGATCCTGCCCATATACGAGAAGGCGTCGAGGCCATCACCAGTTTATCTCTCATCAGTTTACATGATTAAGAAACACGATATATGGAGGCAAGGTGAAGTTTCATTTAGGAAAAATATCACCCTAAATTTCAGAGGGAACAATGCGACCAAGACGGATTTCATGAAACCTGCTTTATAGCACACGATATTAATAAGTGAATAAAGTTATGTGCTCAGCCTTAAGACCCCCACCCCCCTAAAAAAAAGGGTCACTGAAATGTTTGATGTTGTGCAAATCTTTTCGGTGCCTAGCCAATTTCCTAGTCAGCTTTACGAAGCAGCAGCCAAAGATATTGTTATAATTCGGATCAAATTCCTGCACCGTGCATTGTTCATGTGTGTGGCAACTTTCTTGGTTAATTTGTATCACCTTTTTTTTTTTAACAATTATCTGCTCTTCTTGACTCAATCTTGCCCACATTTTCGTCATTAAGGATCAACGAAGGTAAACCTTCACTGCATCAAATGATCCCTGATATTATTACCGTGAGACTAATAAGCTCTACAACCGGACTGAAGGCTCTCTGAAACTTAAACCGCATGAATTTGCGAAACCACCCTTGCGCACAATTCCAAGTAACGCAAACCCTGTAAGATTGTCTTGAAATCAGAAGCGAATGGTAGTTTTCATTTTTTTAAAAATTGTTCTTTCGTTTGTATAATCCTGCGTGGGCCATGTAAATTTTAGTTCAGTTCCAGAAATCTGAAATACATATAAAATAATGGCGCAAAGACTGCATTTACGACACAAATTAGCTCCTATGATAAGGAACTGAATTTGGGAAGTGGTGTGGGGCGGAGCCTGACAACCTATTCCCCTCCCTGACTCATCGGTTTTTGCGAAGCATGAACATTTGCCACGTAATGTTTTCTGTTTAGAAGCTCGACGAAATCATAATGAATTTGGGCCCTGTGTGATCTCAGTCATTACTGGCAATGTGGCTGCACTATAGCGCTATGTGAGTCTCTGAGAGAAAATAGTGACGAAACAGAAAACCTCGTTGGTGTGTGCGGTATAATGACACGATTATGCAGCCGATGGGCAAGCAAGACACACGCTCGGCTTTGCACAGTGCCATAATAATTACGACATCACCGATGTGATATGATGTCCCTCGTCTAGCGGGAGCTGAGACGTAATATTTCCCCCGGGCTGTCCCCGTCGCACGGCTGCCGCTCGGCTCGGTACCGACCCTGCACCCCTCAAGACCAAGCTATCTGTAATCGGACCGCATCCTAGTGTCATCAGAAAAGCGGCCGTTCTCAGAAGAGCAGAGAAATTACAGAGTTTGGGTTTCCCTGGTCGTCTTGGATTATCAGCAGACAAAAAGAATATTTTACGACTAACGAGCTTAGCCATCAGTTTCATGTCGATGATCTGTTGAGTTGTTTACCCGAAATTAAAACAGACTATAGGCGATTGTGTTAAATGCAGAATTCGGTTAAAAGACTGAAAAATGTTTGGCTGCAGTCCAGCTCCAAAATATAATGGATAAAACAGGAATTTCTTAGTAGGCCTACTCATTTTAGTATATGAAAATGAACATCACCGACGAAATTGCTATAGAACGAAACAAAATACAGGATTGTAAAATTTAGTAAATAGGCGCTTGAAGTACTAGGCCTACATTTCAACACCTTCAATCTACGTGACGCCTGGATAAGTTCTCCCAACAGATGGCGCTAGAGCGTTCTAACAGAAGGACACTTTTTTTTTTATCTCGAAGACGAGCGTCGACATTGAGGGCGCCTTTCTATTTTGACATAGGGCCCAGGGGGCGGGTGCGAGATTGCCAAAAAGTCAAGACAGTGCGTTATCTCGTTATGCTCGATTCTTTTGCGGTACTAAAATCGCGAGTATTGTTCAGCGTAGCTCCCTCTTCCGGGACAAACTATTTGAATGGATTAAAATAATATCAAATAAAACCCTTTTTTACTGCACAACTTAGTGGCAAAAACTTGAACATGTTTTTTTTGCATCATATAACTTAGCCCACTGAACTGAATGTTTATGTATGGTTCAAAGACGAAGGCCTACACCACATGCCCCTACTTTCGGTAAATATCATATGACAAATATTATTGTTAAAGAACTCATGTTACGAACAAAATGGGAAAAGTATTGCTCGGTACTTTTTTTGGCAGGTATTTTTTTCGAGATTGTGTCATATATTCTTTTGTCGTGCACGATGACTCACCAGCAACATCGCAAGACGTCGTCTGCTACAAAAGTACTCACTGTCGGATTAAGTAGACGTATTTCAGTCGTTATTTTTTATTGATTATTAAAGCTCGCTGCCCAAAGGAAACAAATCTCTTTATGCCTAAAAAAATATTGGGTCCATTTTCAACTGTTGCGTTTACTTGAAGGAAATATAATGGTAATTAACACCATATTGTGATTTAAGAAATAAACAAAAATATTATTGTAAATAAAACGACTGGAACAGAAGGTTCATAGTTTAAAGGTCGTTCGTTGCGGTTCGACTGCGCAGCTGGACTAGACTACAGAGAAAGAAATTTATCATTTCCGCAAATAAAAGTGATTGTGTAAGACTAAGAGTGTGTTTTCCGAGATTTAACAATGAGGACAGTTCCACGACTGTACAATCCTTTGTTTCATCTACGACGCGATTTGTTGTCGGTATTTGATCACCCATAATTCCCCGCTGGAGCATCCCAATTATACCAGTAAACAAACATGGCGGACTGCCGTGATTACTTGACAAGATCGTGCAGTTTCGACTCGACATTTGAGCAAATTTTACCGCCTGAGCAGTGGAAGATTTACCTGAGTGACGATTCGGATATCAAGAGGGGACCCAAGTTGGATCGAGCCACTTTTGAAGGGTTTTTGGATGACGATGGACGGCTTGTTGAGGTCCAAAGTTTTCGACAAGCGGTGTTCCGAGGTATACAGGCCAAGTAAACAAACTTAATCGCATGCATATGCCCATAGGCATTTGTACAGTTGTGTACGGGTATGTACACCTATTAAGCCTAAACCGTTATGTAAACATTCATGGGGAAGTTGGACCATTTTGTTTTTTACTAGTAGTACGTCTTCACTATAGCTTTATACTTTTTATAGGCACAGATTTGGCCTATATATCGTGCAAGACACTTGACAGATGTTGAGAGATATTTTATATGTTTAACACAGTACTACTACTACTCACTAGTAAGTACTAGATCCAGGCTAGCTAGACCAGTACACACAGCATGGGCCAAGTTCGGGCAAGGACCATTAGTCGACTAGTGGTTGATTTGTGACGTACCTTACGCCTGCGCACAAATAGCAAAGTGCGAACGTCTCTAGTCGAACGCTGGTCAAAATGTCATTGCAAAACGTCTGGATCCTGGCTCCCTGCTGTACGTTATGAACGCGCGCGGCTATGGTTACCAGCGAAGCATCCAACCCCAGTAGGTGGGTTCCAAATAGTCGACTAGCGTAGTTAACCATCGTCGACTAGACAGAGTTCGGGCAAGCGTTAGTCGACCAATGGTTAACTATAGTCCTTGCATGAACTTGCCCCATGGTTGTCATTAATGTTATGTTTACGGGTCTAGGCTAGCTGGCTTGGGAAACCCTAGTCCTTTTTTGACATTTGGGATGTTGGTCTGTCGTACTAGCGACCCACTAAGGAACTATTGTCAATGTAACAATTTCTAAAATTGTAAAAATCACGCAAAATACTTAGCAAAACTACCTTTGAAAGCACCTACTGGCTTCTCCACATGTCAAAGACAAAGTAATGGGGCTTCAATGATACTCACGATTATTTTTTAGGTTGCAAATCCGTGAAATTCAACCAGACATCATACAGCGATCATTGAATAATGTTTATGGCTTTGATCTATCAACGCATTGTATATGGTAGTATGGACGTACATCATGTACACATACAAACACGTACGTGAAGCAGGGGCCGGGACACGAGCGCGCGCGATCTACATGCGGAGTTTGTTTTTACAAACTCCGCATGTAGATCGCGCGCGGTAAGCAAAATTTCAGCTTCCTCCGTAAGGTAAACATATGCAAAAAATGTGTTAAAATTTTTTTCGCTATGGCAGGAGAGATTCATACCCTGGACTCCGTTGTGTGTACACAACAGAGTCCAACCTGGGCTAGGCAAAAGGTATATGGGCTCCTAAATGACTGTACTGTAATGGAGTACCCACATATTATTTTAACAATGTTCTCAAAACAATTCTCATCACAAAATTAAATCTTTTTTTCCCCATCCTGACAGGAGGAATTGAAAGTGATGTCAGACAAGATGCCTGGGCATTTTTGTATGGACTGTACCCATTCCAGTCAACGAGAAGGTAAGTGTTTAGGCCTTAATTACGAACTCTCCTTCAAGTAATGATTTGATATAGACACTTTATCATTAGATAATCCAGACAGGGCTCTGGAGTGCTCTGAAACGTGCAAAACTAAATCAGGCCCACTTTACTCACAGTTTAGCCAGCAAATTTCTCCAAATATGCCACTGGGGCAAAGAAAATGTCCTCAGTATTTCACCAACAAAGTTTGCAGACTCAAATTCAGTTTTTAAAGGAGACTTTTCTTCAGTATTTTGCACATGAGAGGGAAGTCAAGTGATTTCAAAATGGGGCTAAATGCTAGACTGATACATGTCCAACTATGGTCCAACTATTTTAAAGACTGACCTCTTCATTCAGTGTAAATAGTCTGGTGCCTTGACTATGGAGAAATGTGTAGTAAATTGAGACTAGTTCCCGCTTCACGCCACATGTTTCTTAAATTCTTTTGGCATGGTTGATTGATGCAGTACCGAAGCTGTCTTGGACTGGTTGTTTTAGGTGCCAGTCTATTTTCTTGTTTTGCATGTTTTCAATACCTTAAGTTTTGGGACTCTCATACACAGTATTGAGAGTCCCAAATTTTCGGACTATAGATAATCATAAACGTATGAGATAAACCTATCTAGAATTCTCCTATATTTGATGAAGAATATCATGATTAAAAATCAACAGATCAACATTAAGTTACAAAATACAATAATCTGCTTTGAAATCTGTATTCTTAAATTTATACAATTATCGTTAGTGAAGAATACTTTCTGGAATAAGTACGCTGTCAAAGGTATCCAGAATGCTGCTAATCACTTACACGATCTTGTTTACAGAGAACGAAAAGTCCTATCCATGGAGTATCATTACCGATACGAAGCCCTGAAAGCAAGGTGGAAAGCCTTGCTTGCACTAACCACCCCTCCCAATGATGTCACAGCCAACGGAGCAGAAGAGGTTCACTTGTCACGGAAGAGCAGCGAATCGTTACACAACATTCATGAAAAGAGCGATGTGAGTGATTGCAGATGCGGGGAAACAGGTGAGGGCTATTTGACAAGCCTTACTCTAAAAGTTGGTGATAACTGTTAAAGGAAATATACAATATTTGCAAACATCGAAAAAAAAAAATACCAAGTTTTTACGAAATACCTTGCTAGGATGTTGGTAAATGACAGTCTAAAGCATCCTGTAAAATTATGGCACCTGGTGTGAAGTCATTTTCAAGAAAATGGTATTTTTGTATACATATCCAACGGTGGTCGGCCGACCACCGTTGGAAAAACCTAACTATTTTTCAACTGCTGCTCCAAATTTACCATTTTTTTTCCAGTCCATGCTTTGTTTGCCATGGGTTATGTGTTCAGGAACGGGTGCAGGCCAGCTAGACTGGCTCCCTTACCTTACAACTTTCCGACATCTATAAATTGATCCATTTTATAATGGTGGAGTCAGGAAACCAGACTGCTTGAACATTTTTGTTTTTCTTGGTTGTTCCAGCATTTTCGAACACAAAACTTCAAACATGTCAGTGTAACAATATTTGATCTATTATACTAACCCATCAAATAGTTCATTTCTGAAAGTTACAGCAAAAGCCAATGATGTGCATTCCCTTTAAGGTAGGGGAGTTGGCAGAGGGGTTTAATAATCCTTAAAACTATTCAGATTCCATATTGTTTTTTTACTGATGTTTTATTTTGTTTTTTTTAGATTTGCATAACAGAAACAGTACTCAAAACGGACCAGAAACGAAAGAAGATCAGAGGTTGCAGATGGAATGTATGGAACTTCAAGCAAGGGTAAAATTATTCAGAGTACTCGACATTCTGTTTTTATGGTTTCCCTATTGCAAATGACTCAGTGACCCTGAGCCCTTCAGATATTGTCTGGACATGTTGAATTCATTTGAATCCATCAAGAGTGAAGTATTGAAGCCTGCTCAGTCCAACAAACTCCAACGGACATCCTGGATCTTGTTGGATTGAGAATCTAAGGGTTAGGTTACTGAACGCCACAAACAAACCTAGGTTTGAGTTGTCAGGGAATGTATGGGGAGAAATTGTATTCCCCAAATCATGTCTTGAAATGTGCAATTGAATTCTCAGTTTAATTGTTTAGTAGACTGCTTTGATTTCATAACCCAACCCTTGATTTTCTCCAGATCTATGCAGAGAGGGAACCGTTAGACATTGACAACATGGATGCATTCAAGAAAAGCATACGAATCATTGACAAGGATGTGCCAAGAACAGACAGGGATCATCCCAAGTTTAAGTAAGCATACAGCTCTGGTCTTCTTAAGATGGTAAAGAATTGATGGAACTGCTACAGAGCATTCTTAAATAATCAATTCAACTTAAAAATCACTGTTTTTTTTGCAGATTTTCTGAGCTAGTTTGTTTTATTTGCCAACAGAGGGCCAAACAATCCCAACCTTCCAAGACTACGCAACATTCTTATTACCTTCGCTGTCTTTCATCCTCGTAAGTACCCAGAATCCTTAACCCTAACTTACTAGGCTTTTTTGCTAGGATGCAACCTCAATCCTGCAAAATCTTCCAACTGCCTCCATTTAAAACTTGCCTACAGCCTCAATCCCTCAAAATCATCAGATCTTTCTTGAATGGGGTCCTGGGAGGGGCGACCACTACCTCAATCCTGCAAAATCCTCCAGCAATCACTGTCAATATGTTGAGGCAGAGGCAGTGACATCCTGGAGCGGTGCGGAGGATTTCAAGTATAATCTAAGCCTAAATTTATGCACGGCTCAGCATAAACAACACAAGGTCCGGCCCAAGACCCTGCCACAGTGTATCCTCCAAAATCAGCCATGCATTTTTGCCATAAAGCCTCAATCCTGCAAAATACTCCATTTTGCAAAGAAGGTATTTGAAGGATTTGGAAAGGTTCAGGTTAGAGGGACCAATACACTAAAGAATTGTAAGGCACTGGAGTATGTTGTGGCAAATTATGGTGTTGAAATATTCTTTCAGTGTCATCACGAGGTCATACCCACAATATTACATTGAGCTTGCTCCAACTTGGATTACAAGCATCAAGCTCGGTGGTCGAGTGGTAAGACGTCTGCACTATAGAGGAGGAGGTTATGGGTTCGAGTCCCACCCGAGTAAGCATGTTGATTTTGTCTCACAAACCCCCAGGCAGCACTAGTATACAATGCTTATGAATATACGTTGGTGTAGGGCAAACCCGACACTGAACTAACGGGTATGATCTTGGTTTTGTGCCCCCAGAGGTGACGTATGCTCAGGGCATGAACGATGTCCTCAGCAGATTCTTTGTAGTCATGGATAGCGAGGTTGAATCTTACTGGTGCTTTACGTTGTATCTAGAAACCATCTACAAAGACTTCCTAGAAGATGGCATGCTGCATAAATTAGGTGAGTGCTAACAAGGGTTTCTCACATTTGATGGGAGACATGCAACTTCATAAGATTTACCCCCAAAAATTCAAAACTAGAATAATGGAATCGGGTAACTTTTTCAGGTAGAGTAACACAACAGTAACACATGCTATCAATTCCTTAGCCTACGAGCCAAATTCTTTTACACTTGATAGTTTGTATTATGTAACTGACAATACAGATCCTTGTCATTTGATTGGTGGAACTCACATCACGTGACATTCGTTATTGCTCCCATTCACGCCGCTGCTCAAAAAGTACTATCTGCCCATGGGGAATGGGAAATACTATTGAACAGTTGGGATCATGACGCGGTATTTGTGTGTAAATGCATGCTGGAGTGCGTGTTCAGCGTTGCGCGTAGCGCGTATTTTTTCAAAGAGCTAGCGCTACAGCGTTGGGTTCAAACATTTTCGTGAAGGGGTGGTTTGGAAGGGAGAAATACATTTCCCTCCAGTTTTGTATTGAAATAAAAGTTCAAATATGTCAAATGACAAGGATCTATATGCAGTTATATAAAACAAATACTGAGTGGCTTTAAATTGAGAAACGGGAGGAATATTATCGCTCAGTAAAATCTGGACTTTTCCAGTTCACTCGGCTTCGCCTCGTGAAATGGAAAAGTCCAGATTTTACCTTGCGATAATATTCCTCCCATTCCACGCTGATCCACTCAATATTTGTATACTACTCCCAATTTGGTTTCATTCATATTTACATGCTTTTTTTTTTGTTTTTACTAGGTATATTAACACAAATGCTTCAGGAGATTGATCCATTTCTCTATGATCACCTCACGTCTTGTGAAATTGGTGATCTCATGTTCTGCCACAGGTAGGCATTTTTTTAAACAAATTTACTGAAATGCTTCACTAACCCTAACTCCCATATAAAGTAAGGTCGTATTAAATACGGGACATCAGAGCTACGGCCACCTCTATTATGAGCATGTCATTAGCTGTAATTGTTGAACACCATGACAATAGCTTTAGGTAAACCATTCGGACACAGCCTGATAGTAGCCTGGCCCTACAGACCTGAATCCATCACGACACTTCTGTGAAAATACAGATTTTGAAAAAATAATATTCTTTGCGAAAGGAATAATTAGGCATTTTATGGAGACAGTGATCACAGAGCTAAAAGCATCTCAACTTATTAGCCAAAACAAATGGGCTAGAAACACACACAATGGAAATCCAAATGCCTGCACAAGGATGCCTGTGAAATACGGTCCAGTTTTGGGGAAAAAAGGGAAGCCAAATATGTTGTCAAAATGGAAGAAATTGTATGTCTGTCTATCCATCAGGTGGTTGCTGTTGTGTTTCAAGCGAGAGTTCCAGTATGAGGAGAGTTTGATGCTATTTGAGATCATCAGCAGCAAGCATCTTGAGGTGTCTTCGGTGGTGGCCGAGAGGGCAAGAGATATAGCCAGGGCTAGAGACTTCCTAAAAGCAGGTAGTTGGAGGGAAGATGTTAGGTGCTAAAATAGGACCCTGTCCAAGCTTGGGGGCTGTACCCTATAACTACAAAGGGTGTCAAACTTGCAATGACTTGACCATTTGCTTCATTAAGCAGGTGTATTGGCTTAAAGTGGCAGCTGCTTGAGACAACGAGGCGATAAATTACCTTTATTACTATACCTCATACATATTCATGATCGAGAGCCGAACTCTCACTGGTCAATTCACCATCACGTGCCAGATGTTATTCTTGCTGTTTACCAAACGTGCGCGCGAGGATTCACGCACAGGGTAAATACGCATGCGTAGTAGACTGTCGCATGGGTTACCCGTGCGACAGTCTACTACGCATGCGCTCTACAGAGCAATCGAGGAACTGTCGCACGGGTGCAATACGCACGCGCGAACATCGCCCAGGAGAGATGCATGGTTGCACGGTTCGCGTAAATGTTAATTTCCAGAGTTCAATGATGCTGTACTGGAGAAAATTTATGGACCGTGTAAAGATGTCTCCTGTACAAAAGAAAGTTGTACACATTGCAAACATTTGTAGTTACAACTGTAGTAACTGTATTATATTGCAAACGAACCGAACTAGTAATTGAAGTTGAATCTTTTGGTGAGCTGTACAAGTTTCCCCGAATTTTGTTTTAGGTGCATAATAATAAAACAAAATTCGGCAACTGAATATGTATGAGGTATAGTAAAACAAATATAACATGGTTTATTTCGGGTGGACAGTCGATATTAGCTCCCCTCGGTATTGGAAGTTGACAAACTAGTTCCCTCGGCTTCGCCTCGGGAACTAGTTTGTCAACTTCCAATACCTCGGGGAGCGAATATCGACTGTCCACCCTCAACCATGTTATATTTGTATAATATGACATTGCTTGAATGTCGCCATGTTTACTCAGTAATGTCTGAGAATTTTGTCAGAACAATTTACAAGTAGTAGAACATTTACTGGTAGTACGGGAACCAGGTACCTGATTGAAAAAATCACGGGTACCCGGGTACCTGTTAAGAAAACCAACCCCAAAATTAAAAGCTTAAACGTTGCTGTTCAGATTGTCCATAAAGGTCCGCATGATAATGCTACCACATGTGTGCGTTGATACAGCAAGATACAAGTGTATACACTGAGCTTTATGGCTTTACGGTGTAAACTGCAACTTTCGCAAGTGTCATAAAGTTGAAATACGTTTTGTTTTCCCATTTAGCCTGGTTTTCATTTTTGAAAATTCCCTCAAATGACATTCAGAACCTTTCTTTTTCATTGTCTGAGAAGTGACTTAGTAATTTGTAAAGTTAATTATGGGTACCCGATCCCATAATCTGGCACCGGTTTCTGACATCAACCGTCGGGTGCTCGGGTACCCGGTCTGATGCATAGCCCTATTTACAAGCTTATTCAGCAGTATTTTTTCACAATAGGGAGATGCAACTTTTAACATTGGGTTTGATTTTCACCCATCTGTCTCTAGGTGGAAGGCAGAGAGTTCATGCGGAGGTCGTGCGGACAGATTTCACCTTTGAACTCTTTGTGTGCACCACCATCTTGTATGACAACAGGCAGGCACTTTTGGGGTGTATTGACTCGGCCACTGTATTCCAGTACGTGGTGAATGGGTGAGTGGCTGACGGTCAACGTTATCTTAGTCAAGGAGATTCACTGGAAATCAAGCCTTGTGGAGTGCCGTGGCCTAGTGGTCTGGAGCATTGAAATTGTGGTCTGCGGGTAATTCTGCAAGTTGTGGGTTCGAGTCCAGCCTGGGTTTATGGTGCGTGTGCCCTTGAGCAAGGCGCTTTGTCACTCATTGCTTCTCTCCAACCAGGAGTAGATGGGTACCTGTGAGGGCAGTGTTGGTTACTGTGAGAGGTTGATTACGGCCAAGAGCGCCGAAATGGCTGCCTAGCGGCCGTGTATGCTCCCCAGGGAGTTGAGAAGGTTTCAGGAGTGTTTGCCCGTTGAAACGGGGAAAATAATAATTGTAAAGCGCTTGGATACCCCCTTGCAGCGTAAAAGCGCTATATAAATGCCTGCTATTATTATTATTATTATTATTATTATTTAAGTAACTAGACTGTGTGGTCCATGGTCTGGAAATGAGTACATTATTTGGACAAATACGTGCCGACATAAGTGTGCTCTACAAATCTTTGCAAATGAAAGTGAGTCCGAGACCTATAGTCACAAGAATAACATCAGAGACGCTTATCATTAAAAGGTCAATAAAGGATTCTTATTTGCTCACAGAAGCGACTATAATGCTGTTAGGGCACATCAGTACAAACCATTCAAATTTAGTTCAAAACGACACAATGAATCACTTATTCTAGTGAATAGTAGCCTTGGTCAAGGTGTTCGACGATAGTCAATGGTTGGCTGCTAACATAAACAGTAGCCGGGTGCTATGCACTCACACGTACTGTATGAAGCGCGAACAGCAACCTCACGCTGCTGGGCTACAATATGCAAATCAGTTGGTGCTGAACAAACGCCTTGAACAACCGTGCGCCTTGGCATATATTTTTCTCTATTTTTGTTGCGAATAAAGATGAGATTATTATTCAGTACTTGGTCGTGGAGGCTCATATGTTACGTGGACACAGAGCTGGGTAGTGTGGCTACATTCTTCAACAAGTTTGGAGTCTGCAGACCAAATATAACTCGACATAAATCCAGCGACAAAACAACGAAACTTGCACGAGAAAGATGGCCCATCACGACCATTGTTCCAAGGCATTCGTTCAGCACCAATTGATTTGCATATTGTAGCCGAGCGGCGTGAGGTCGCTGTTCATGCTTCGTACAGTACGTGTGAGTGCATAGCTCGCGGCTACTGTTTTGTTCAATAGCTGCCAACTATCAATCATCGGACACTATCGTCGAACGCCTTGACCAAGGCTACGTGAATAGGTGTTTCTTCATGAAATCATCAGTCGATTACAGGTCTTCATTTATTAACACACTATTTTCCACTTCTTGTGTGCTGTAACTAGATTATCCTTCAACTTGGACCTTCAGCACATATTGTGCCTCGCAGAGAAGATGTTGCTTGCCTACTGCCGAAGGACAGCAGTTAAAGACAGTTTTGAACTCTTGGAACATGATGAGGCATTCTCGACACATTCCTGAGTACGTTTCTTTCTTTTGCACATTTTTGGAAGGATGAAATGCAGTGTGTTTTGCAGTCTTGCTCATAACCTCAGGCTTGTTAATATTATGACACAAGTATGCGCCTCAGAAATTCAAGTTACTAGATATGGTTGTGATGGAGTGTGACGTAATGGTTAGGGTTTGTGACTCACCGTCGATCAGAGGGTCAGGGGTTCAAATCCAGCTGCCGGTCATGCTGCATCCTTGGGCAAGCCGCTGAATAGGCAATGCTGCATGCATTTGGTGAGAAGTTATCCATGGACCTGCATTTCATTTAGAGGAATAGAAACATTCTCGGTCATTCATGCAAAGGTCACAAAAGAGATAAAAGCTTTTCATGAATCAATACAGGTTTTACTTAACACAGCTGTCCACTGATTTTTTGCAGATTTGATAGCGAGTTTGCATCAAACTGCAGATCTTTAAAAATGTCGTAGTGATGCCTAAGTTGAAGTGATTTCAAAGCCTTATATATGCCTTTGGTTAATAATTTATGCATTCCATGATCAATGTGGTGCATTCCTTTTTTTATACTCTGTACTTTTACTAATTCAATGTGAAGTGCTTTTTTTGCGCCGTGAATGACCTCGGTGTAAAATAATTAAAATTATTTTTTCTAAGTTGAGAGAAATTTGGACTATGCACATTAATATATATATATATATGGATGGTACCATAAAAGTATTGGGCACAGATGGATACTGAATTCAAATGTCAGTTCCACAGAAATTGGTTGTGTGATAATTACAGACGGGCTGAGATCAAAAGACGGTGTCCTCCATCAAAATATGATCACTTGAAACTGAGATACTTGTTTACGTTTACAATTTCTGTACAGACTGGATAATTATGGGAATGGCAGATATCATAATTTGAGAAATTAAGGAGCAGACTTTCATTATCAGATGGATGGGCCCAATTGCATTGCAATACTTAAATAACAAGTGTAACACAGCAGTGTGATGTAACTGTGTCACGTTAATGACGCCACAATACAGTAACGAAATATTTTGTGAAAAAATCTGTCATGGAGGTGTGATTATGTTGATGTGCCTTGCATTTTTTGCTTAACGACAATATTTCTGTAATGGTTCGCTGTTTAAAAACAAATTCTGAAATAGAATTCCTTTTTTTTTTTGCATTTTGTATCGCACAACCCATATTACATTTGTATATGTGTACAAAATACCCGTATATATGACAAAGAATATAACAGGTGAACACACTTGCCTAATTAAAATTAAAACTGTAAATCTCAATACATTACAGAGCGATATAATGTAAATTCCTAACCTATACATAAGTCATACATTTTAATGATATGAAACCTTATGGTTACTATGAATTAACCACTGGGCTGAAATGGTTGACCATCAATCATGAATATATTCATGCAATTTTGCTGGAATTTATGTAAAGGAAATTTAGTCAGCACTTGTTGAATATTCTTAGGAGCGTATTAAGTGGATGGTGGTCAAATGCTCCATGGTACAATCAGCTACGCCAAGTTGCCATAAAAAGGAGAGGGGAGGGCTCAAAAGGAGGGGAATATTGCGAACAAAGAGGTGTCTTATTTCTGGGTGACCTGTCACATTATAGGTCACAGTGCTTCCTGCTGGTACTAGTGACCATGGTATAATTTCTGCCTGTTCCCCGCTTGTTCTGCATGACTCAAACATTTCAGTGTAATAAATGAAGCAACTGTCTTTTGGTTTACTTCATATGACAAGGTCATCAAGAGTCACACATACCATTGTACAAAATATAACTAGATATATCTGCACATTTTTGAAGTCCCAACTGCCAACGATCACTTATAATGTGACAAAACTCTTTTTAAAATAAAAATTCCTGCAGGTATACATTCAGCAGGTGACTTGTACAGGTTTGGTATGGACCTTGTGGGGCTGATGAAGATGCCAAGAGACATCTGTAGTCTGTAAGGGTTCATGGACTATCCAAAAAGCAGGAATATGTATTTGTATCATGTCCACGATGCCTCTGAAAAGTAAAGTCAGTACTACATCTGTTGAGAGGTCAAGGGGCACTCTAGATTGAAGAGGATTTATGGCGTGTAACTGTGGGTTAACTCAACTCAGCTTTTGCCATTCATTACTGGTCAGTGTTTATAAAGTGATTTCCAATTAAGGGGTGTCACTGCACATAATGGAATTCGACACAATTATCAAGCTGGTGGCCACATTTGACAGGCGTATTTAAAATGACTCTGATCGCTGCTATTACGCAAATGTCACAATAACATGATATGATGGCAAAATGTACATAAATAAACTCTTGAAAAATATATATTATTTATTTAAGTTCTAATAAGCGTATATGATGCGTTGATATTATACTGATCCGTCAAAGCCAAAATATAAAACGTAAACAATTTGATTAATTAATTAATTTTAATTAATTAATTAATTTAACAATGTATAATTAATTCCAATTATAAAATCCTTGCCATCTATCGAAAGAGTAAACCAAAGCTAAAGTCTTGATTCGTTTGTAATAAAACTGACCAGTGTAATTGTACTCATAATCGTCTCTGTCTTGTTTTGTTTCCACATTTCATTTGGCTTATTTTCTCACCGAGGTCGACATATCGTTTTCCCTACTATACTTGTATCGCTTCCAGAACGTCAAGACAAGTTCAGACGCAGACATGCAAGAATTCAAATGGCATTTCATTAGGGACTAGCCTTGATGTCTTTTCTAGAACACAGATCAAATTATACATCCATATGCTGGGTTGATTGATGCAAGTATATTATTTACAAGCAATCGATCTTATAGGAATGATACAATTTCTGTGCAGTGGCCGTAGTCAATATAGCCTAATGAACGAGTCAGTGAGAAAAGTGCAGCTACGAATTATAAAGTTTTAGAATTTGCAGCGGCGCAGGTAGTTTCAAAATTTGCAATTTGTTAATACTTTGCAAAAAACCCCCACACCTTTGATTGAAGTTATCCAGTCTTCGATAGTTGTGATTGTGCTAGCGCCCTCAATCTACGTGATATCTTGAGAGTAATTATACACATACGACATGGAGTATTCCTGCGTTTTATCACCGATAAAATAATGCACAGCATTTAAGAATACTCCATTGCAACACATCAGGCGGACAGTGGCAGACTGGATGTTACGCCATCGATTTCTCAATTTCAAACAAACTCATTTTGGAACGTGTTGGCTAAAAAAACCCAGCTCTCATGGCAAAGCTTGATCTGCTCCCTAATTGACACAACGCCTGTGTGGAAATTAACTCCCATGATTCAAATTTCACTTAACAACTATTCGGGCCTGAGAATATCATGGGCGAGACAGAGAGGATCGCGGATGAAGAATCGTCTCTTGAGGATTCGGTAAATATTTACGCCCAAGTGTAGAAACGTGTACCAAATGTCTCTTGCATCACGGATAAAAACGGCAGCCGTGACTGGTCTTTGGGATTAGATGCAGTCTGAGGTGTATAAGCATGCACCACCATGAGCCTCGCTACAATACGGAATAATGACACTTTGCTGGTGGAAACTTGGCGGTTTTACCCAGACGCGGAGAACTACAATCGCGGTCTTGTTTTTAGTATCTGTATGCTTGGCTACCCTTCACTTTAGCCGAACCGTTTCAGCAGTAAACAATGCAACCCTGATCATCCATTGCGCAGACGTAAATTATCTTAACGTTAATTTATTGCAACTGAGTTTCTGAAAACGCCAAACACACCTGGCGGTTGTGCATCTTTATTATTGAATGACCATTGGGAATCATAGAGGTAATATCACAAGAACTTCTAACTCCTAGCGAGCGAGTGCGAAATACCACCCGGAGAATTCTCAAAATACAAGCCCATCCTTTCTTGAATTAAACTATATTGACCATCATGGATTACTGCGACTATGAAGCAGATGGCGACGCAGCAGCGGCACCAAAAAGGGTCTTCACGGAGCAGACGAGTCTTAACGAGGGTGTAAGGCCCGCTGCGGCGGACGAGGACGGAGATGTGCCCAACAACTGGAGGAGGAAGAACACCGTCTGGCGAATCGAGAGGAAAAAGGAGCATTTGTTCCACCAGTTCATGGAGAATACTACCTTACACGGAGTAAAGTATGTGACGAACCCCGCGCACAGCAAGCAAAGACGGTAGGTATATAATGGACACCAAAAGAAAATAATTAGCAGTATAACCTTCGAAGTTCACTGTAGGGACAGTTGATATTTTGTTAAGAATATAATTCATAATCCGGCTGTGCATAACTCACAATATCTATATGGATCGATTTTAATATCCAGTTTCATGGACACCTATGAGAATATATCTGCTACGTTTTTCATTTTGAATCATCAAACATTAAATCGTTGTAACATTTTATTTTGAAATTTTCAAGCGTGCTTTTGCGCTCTGTTCTCCCTTGAGTAGGTCAGGTACAAGTTATAAACTTCCCTAATTTGTTTCGTCTATAAAATACGTCTACTGCATGCACTGGATCGGTATGAAAAAAATAATCTCTGGACATGTTGGGTGAACGCGTTTTAGAGGTGATTCTTCGCACAATAACCGTCGATAATACAGTTGATTTACATAAGTATGCATAGGCCCTTCAAAATACCAAGTACCAAATCCTTGCGTAATAAACAGAACGGAAACCCACTTTGCCGGTCAACTAAATTAAAGCCAAGAAATATATTCCACTTAAGATGATTTAATCATGCAAGTGTCGGCACAAAAACAATTCACCCTGTCTTTTCATTAACAGATAGATCACCGTTTATAAATCACGGATCCGTTTTGTAATCACTCATAGGGACGGTTCAAGCTTAGAGTATCTTTCACCGTGTTCTTGTCATCCAATTAATGTTCGACTTTAATTTCCGCTCCCTGATGTCACGCGAGCGAATCTTCGCGTAAAACTGCTCATTCACACACTTGCACGGTTCTCATAGTTCACTGCCGATCACATATCGCCAAGTAATTCCATCCCCCGTGTTTGCAGATCACGACAGATTATTTTATATTAAAAAATAAGAGAAGAAAAAGAAGAAACGCTATCTGCATTCTCTGCATCCCATCATCAGGTTTCTTCTGAACAAGCCTTTACCAACAACACTGTAAAAAGGTTGAATAAAACACTGTTGGGCAATGTAATTTACCCAGCATTGGTGTGAAATTACCTCATATTGGGTTAAAGTGGGTAAAAACTGTCAAACTATTGGGAAGAATTTGGCCAAGAGTGTGGGCAGTTGATAATTCGACCAGCATAGGTCAAACTATTGCCCAGCTTTTTTACACTGAATGTCTCTTCTTCTTCATTCATTCATTTTCATGACGACTTGATGAGTTGGGCCCAACTGTCCCTGTTGAGCATAGTGTTGGAAAGAGATGGCCCACTCAGACCAATTTCTAGCTCGATTGATGTTTTCAGGGTCATGTTGGGACGACCTCATCGTCGAGGGGCTTTAGGATGATAGAGGAGAACTTGACTAGCTGGCTCATTATGTCGATAAACGTGACCGGCAAGCCGAAGGCGACGCTGTCTGATGATGGTGGAGATAGGGGGAAGGGCACCGTACAGAACAGAGTTAGGGAGATGTTGTTGCCAAGAAACGTTCTGAACAGCCCGCAACATCCGTGTATAGGTACCATCAATGGATGCAGAGATCTGTTTGGTCAGGGTCCAGGACTCGCAACCGTAGAGGAGAATGGATTCTAGGTCTTGAAGATCTTAAGTTTGGTGGTCTTGAATGTACTTGACTATGCTCTACACAAAACATATTCTGTCAGTTAACTGAGTGAATCAAAATCATAAGAACTACAAACTACAAACGCTTCGATTTAACATATTAGGAAAGCTGCTACATATTTCTAGTCGGACATTATATCCTCGTCTTCATAAAAATAACGAGGCAAATTGGAACAGGATCTACAGCCATTATAAAGAAAAGTTTTAAACTATTATACGAAATGTTTACAGATGCAGAGCGTCATACTGAATCCTTTCCACCTTGACGCTCTATTGAAACAATATGAAAACTGTAATCCCCAATTCATTAGACAGGTGTTACTGGTACATTCAACAAGACTGATGAGCATCATGCTGCCGTATGTCTGGCTGTTTAACGGCTTTAATTTCCGGTATACCAAACGACACTCCACCAGATTACTACAGATATGGGCCTAAAAGTGCCTATCCTCATAGCTCCCACGCAATTCCTCTTATTAATGATGCTCTTACATTACACCGGTAACTATGGCTACGCCCACATGAAGTTTGCTCCTAAAATGCTTTCGGACTGTTTTAATGATAAAAGGTCACCATACCAATGTCATACCAGTGTTCAACACCAGAGACTGGAGGTCATAGCATTTGAGTTCAGGCTGATACAAATTACAAGCAGGCCTATACACATCCATCATCCATTAATCTCCAATGCCAGTGCATGTATCTCAACACTAAAAGCTTTTCTCCGAGCGGAAACCATGCGATGAAGTCCATGGTCCCGCAAATACTTATACCATTACCGACGAGTTGGAATAACATCGGATTTTCCCATAGACTGTGCACTTGTGGATAAATTGACATCACAACATGCGGTAGTTTATCACGGACTCTAAACAATTCGCCGCCGACGCGTTATGAATCAATTGAGTTTTGATGAAGTCGGATTTGAATTGCAGAAGCCGTGCGGTGCTTTGGGACGGTTTTGTTACTGCTATAGAATGTCGACTTCAGGAGAATGAGAGCACCAACTGCGTAGTTATTTTTGCTTCAATTCCTTGTGTGATGATGGTGGCATGGACGACCTCGATCGCGTGTCATGTACAGACAAATTACGGAAACCAGGTCAGCAAGTCTACTCAACCAATCAAAACAGAAGTCATACTTAATCCCGTCGATAGATTGAAATTCAACCGTGTTTATACAAAGCATGGGGACATTCATGCTTCGGTACCAGTGCTAGCGCCAACCAGCTTGAGTTACATTGACTCTGGGAACTTAGGATACGGACGGTGGCAAATAAATGTTGGAAAAAGGTTGTTGGATATTTAAGCCGAAGAAGACTAAAATCCCTAACATGGTAATTACACTTCTGAAACGAATTATGGCCTCAGCGTATCAATATTAAGTTGGTCATAAACACAGACTTCGAAACTATCAATCCGAAATATCCGGTAACAAAGTTTACATGCATTCAACATATTTCATGATTCCTACATTTTTGTTTAAAGGGAAGATACAACATTTGCAAAAATGACAAAATAAAATGATCAAATTATCACGAAATACCTTACCGGATTGTTAGAATGACAGTCTAAAGAAACCTGTAAAATCGTGGCTCCTGGTGTGCTGACATTTTCAAGAAAAATTACATTTTTCCAACGCTGGTCGGCCGTCTATAAATTGCTCCAATTCATCTTAAGTGGGGTCAGGGAATCAGACTACAAGAACAGGATTGGTATTCTTTGTTTTTCTAGCATCTACAAGCCCAAAACGTGAAACAAGTCATTTTAACAATATTTGCTATAACATACTATTCCCCCAAATCCATTTATTTCTGAAAATTGCAGTAAAAGCAAATGTTGTGCATTCCCTTTAAAACCGATTTTTGTGTGTTTATGTTCTCAGGTTGATTTGGATGGTGTTGTTCGTGATAATGCTTGTTATCGTCTCTTGCGCTATCTTCTCCCACTTTCAAGAGTACTTCGCTTACGCCACCAAGACAGTCATCACCTACAAGACACCACACAAAACCAGTTTCCCTAGTGTAGTCATATGCAACTGCAATAAGTTCAGAATATCAGCCCTCAACGGTAGCCAATGGGAAGAACTGCTACCCATGGTGAATACAAACGGCGTCTATTACAGCGAGCAGATCGAGAAGCTAAAGGCGGGAAAATATTTTAACGTGAACGCCGAAGAGGAGCTTCGCATCAAGGGCGCCAACTACCGGGAACTTGGCCTGGCGCTCTCGCACGAGTTCGAAGGCATGCTGTTGGATTGCCGGTGGGCGGGGAGGTATCGCTGCTCCGCGGCCAACTTCACGCAAGTCTGGACCGATTTTGGAGTGTGTTATGTGTTTAATGGTCAGGATACCACGCGGGTTGATGATGATGGAGAGGGTTTAATGGCGGATAATACCGGGCTGGATGGCGGGCTGTGGGTACGGTTGAATGTCGAGCAGTCAGAACACGCTTCCTCAAACACCGGGAGCTGTTTTAAGGTAATCGTACGGCAGATGTTTTTAAAAACTCACAGTTTGCTTGCTTTCGATTCGGATTGGTCATTATAAAAAAATGCACTGTAGCTAAGATTAGTTACTATATTTCGCACCATGTGCCCAGCACTTTGAGAGCCTACCGAGAAAAGAATCAACAGAACAGACATACTGGAATTTGTATCCTTGTGGAGTCACTTCTTTGTTCTCGTGTCCTAAACAATTTGAGTTTGAAAATCTAGTTTCAAAATGGTCCTATTTTAACCAGAATTAATTTCCTGGGCTAAAATTTGGACTTAATATCCCTTATAAAATTCTTCAATTTGCAACGGATCAACACACCTTGGAAAGTCCTAGTTTTGGGGCAAAATCCATGTATCTATTTCCTGATAACCTTGTGGAGACGTTAGAAATTGCTCCGTGGAGACGTATACAATCTTTTGTTCTCTATTATACCCATGTCTCTACAGGGTACCGTGTAACAGATCGGATGGGTGGGACTCGAACCCAAGACGTATACATGAACTGCTAAATAGTACTGTAGAATTTTGATGACATTGTATTTAACAAGTATTATGAATTTGATTGCTATGATGTTCAGGTCGCGATACAGCCAAGAGGAGATGTCTATTTCGTGCGAGATGCAGGACGAACAGTTCAACCGGGGTATCACTCAATTATTGGACTCAAGAAACAGGTGGTAAGCAGGTGATTAATGTATATACAAAGAAAGTGTAAAGATAATACGGCATATTATTTTGCACCGAATTACAATCTTAACGAAACGTGGTCTTCTAACTATCTGAGATGTTTGACATGAGAATAAAGCAGCAATACAATTCAAGTGGACTGTGTATAAACCTAATGATGGCTTGTCCGACTTTTGGCAGAGAAAAAGCATGGAGTCTCCTTACGACACTCACTGCCGTAAAGATGGCCTGAAGTACTACAATGGCTACTCCATAAACGCTTGTCGTATGGAGTGCCTAACGAACGACACTATGGAGAAATGTGGATGTATAGCACCATTTATGCCAGGTGGGAAAAAATCACATCACACAATATACATTATAGATGGTAATAGGGGTCAATACATACAGGTACATACATGTACATGAACCCACTAAGTCACACTACATCACTATGGATTATTTTCTCTCTGTTTGTTCTCTCTTTTTTTTTTTAGAGTCTTCCGGATTTCCTTACTGCGATCTGATCACGTTGATCACATGCGTCGCTCATCGCATAGGTATGCACAGTCCTGACGACCTTAACAACTTTATATACCGAATACTATGCTCATTACGTCATGAGAATCACACTTAAGTTCGATGAGTTTTCATTTACATTACGGCCAAGACTAACATATTAATAAAAACCGCATCAGCAGTTAAGAACTAAGCCTTTATGAATCAACTATCGCAATATTCCTTATGGAACTGGCTAGGCCTATAATTAATCATGGACCCTTCGTACAAAAACCGTTTCTACAAAAGTCGAGTACTTTGTTGTGAATTACCTATTTTTGATTTTTTCCCATAAATGCAGCAAAAACCGTTTTATAATAACTAAAATTTTAACTTCTACCCGAAAAGGTTTCCCGTACTGCGAGTGTAACACGCCGTGCAGCGAGATCCTGTACGATGAGAGAGTTAGCTACTCTCAGGCGCCCTCTATCGACTCTAATAAGGAAGTGCAGATGCTGTTTAATTGGTCGAAAGAAGAAGTCTCGTGAGTACTTCAATTTCATTCAATTCTCCTTCAGAACTGGACTGCCATTAGCGACTCGTGTCTCACAATTTGTTTCTTTTGGTCAAAATAATATGGCTATATAATTATACGCACACCCGTCTGGTTCTTAAAAGAACTTTTGATAAGCACGAACGCCTATACGATTTAATTGTGGTAAACAAAATAAGCACACAAACTAAATCTGAATCTTAATTAATAAATCAACAGATTAAAACGTTTATATCAGGGTAACCCTGCAAGCTTGATTAAAGGTGAAGAATCCTATTACACGCTTTGACTTTCCTTTGTCACGTGGGCTGTTACTCCCTATGTCTTGAAACACCCACAATGACAAATTATTATTCTATTTACAAATCCATGTACAAGTTTAGTCATTTCGAGATTCATTTTTGATTACAAAGAGAAAACATCCTGGAGATATCCATCTACTTTGAGGATCTTCGTGAGCAGTGGACGATACAGGAGGCTGCCTATGGTCTCACCGCCCTCATGAGTAAGAAGAGTTGTACATATACCGGTTAATATGGGGGAAAAAACACTGTTTGTAGTGATTTTGACATTTCTAAGTCAATTTGTGCATTATCGTGTCATTCGATTGATAAATCGCAACACTTCCATGAACATTCAACGATTAAACCAATAATTGTATTATAGTATAATATCTACACATTGGTATGACACACAGTATATTTTGTTCTCAAAAGAACTTCGTTTTATACGATAAAATATATGGAATTTGTTGACCATTCTATCGCAGGCTGGTTGTATTACTGATGCAGCATTGCTTGTCTTTTACTTTTAAAACCCTTCTATGTTCTTCTTGATTTAGGTTCGATCGGTGGCGAGCTAGGGCTCTGCCTGGGAGGTAGCATCATCACAGTCTTCGAGTTCGCCGATTACCTGCTGACCAGACAGGCGCTGCATTTCCGACTGTTCAAGAGGAAATTCAGCAATGTTGGCAGACTCAAACGGCGAGACCACCCGGTTTGATGTCATTATCGTGACGTCACCATGATGTCACTTCATAACGCTTTACTCTAATCCTAGAAACTGGAACAATTGTATGCCATAATTTTCCAAATTATTTCTTGGTAAACATATTAGTACACAAATCACGACCCTCTTTTTGCGGATATTTACCGCAGAAAACTAATGCGATTTAGTCAATTAAAGAAAATCATGCTTCAAAAATACTCGTGACATCAACATCACCTCTCCTCCTTCAAAGGCTCGCTTTTTATTTATTTTATTACTTGAGTGAATCGCCTTGGTTCGTGACTTCAATTTGCGAGGAGGCTTGTCGCAATGATGCCGGCACAGAGTAATGTCGACATGGACGAATCGCGTCCAGCCGAAACCCCTGGACTCCAATCTGTTGGCGATAAAAAAAAAAAAAAAAATCAGCAAGTGTGGATGATTTAAGAATGAACGTACTCAACAAAACTGGAGTGTTGAAATAAAACGGCTGAGGTTTGAGATCTGGCGTTAAATCAAAGTTCGAAAGTGCGTTTTATCCAATGAGACAAATTAAATTGAAATAAGTGGTTACTTTATAGTTTCACTTTCTGTAGGACTTCGATAATTTTTTGTACCTTGAGGTAGTGGGGGAACCCATTCGCGATCGGGCCAGCCAGGTTGATCGCCATTTTGGCGATTCTGTTCTACCAGCCAGTCCGTGAGTGGCCTGAAGTATTCCACGAGAGCCGCCCCATCGAACTGCCTCTGACCAGTAGCCACGTACAGGGCTTCAGGCCACGGCTTGCTTATACCAAGCTTCAGCATATCACTATAGGCAATAACGAATAAAAACTAGAAGTTCAATAAGCGAATGCAAGTTGCAGTTCATTTGTTATAAATCTGGCTTGATGTTTGCCATAAATCAATTCCGTTACATATTCATGTTACTTAAGTGAGGTTGGGAACTTTTCTGTTGCGGCGTCTGGCCGTGTCTGGGAAATAACAAAATGTAGATTTCGGCATTCTCTTAATTTAGACGGTACATTTGAATTAAAACTGAAACCAATTTTTTTTCAGAACAATGATGGTGCGTTTCAACTTGCCCTACCCACCAACTCAGATAGTTCAATCAAATTTACAACCTATGAACGCAAAAGGTTTAAGCCATGTAGGGAATGCTCAAAGCCAGAGATGCTTACCCTAAAGCTTTTCCTGCCTGCGTCGAGTTGTACAAATCGCACTTGTGGAGCGGGCCAACGTGGCCAGCATGTCTACATAACGATTGGTATAGCTGAAACTGCAAGACATAAGCTAAGAAGTACCTGTCGATAAAAAAGGCCAAAAGAAAAATTAAAAAGGACTAGTGTTGAAGTCATTTTATAAATTATTGAGAATTTGGCGATTGTCGTGACCCACCTCGTGTAGCTGACGTCAGCACTGACGTGGTAGATTGACGCGGGATCCAAATCGGTTTCGTCTCTGGGTACAGGTGGCGTAATGCCTTGATATTTGTTTCTGAAGGAGGAAACCAATCCAATGTTGTTGAATTCTAAAGACTTAATGTTCACTCAGATTATAATGAAACGACGTGTGTACACTTGCAGTTAAACAACGAAAGTTCACGGACAACAGCAACCTTGCTTTAAATATTACTTCCATCATGACAACTGAGTGCTGACGAAGCATGCACAGTTCTGATTTCATTTCCATCAATCAAGAGAGGGCGCTGTTGCAAAAAAATTGGAAGCGTTTTCAGACGCTATGTTGACAAAATGGCATTGTTCCCTGTAGCCTGATTTGCATCACGATATCAGTTTCAAAATGCTCCATTTCATAAAGCTTCAGATATTCAAATGCATCCAGTGAAGTTACCTTAGGTGCCACCACCTTGCATTATACTGATCAGCAGTGATAGATCCGTTGAACACTCCCCACCGCCACTTGTCCACAATGATGGAAAACGGGAGGAATGCTATTTTCTCGAGAGCCATGGTCATCAAGAAATTCAAATCAGCCTCTGAGAACAGACAGTATTAGAAACATATGCGCTTACAGGCTAACGGAGTAGTCTTTAATGTAAAGTTAACTTTCAGGGACATGATAACTCACTGCCAACGTATGTCATTTAAACATTCAATCGAATCTAAGGTTTTCGTCACAGTAATAAACGAGATGTGATTTAGAATTGTCTAATGCTCTTGGGCATATTTTATCAGTTCACAAATCAATCTTTGGAAAAGTGTATTATATTCATTCCTACCTTCATCCTGTATTAATTCATCCAGTAGCCCTATCTTGTGCAAGTGTTCAGGAGTGAATGCGGATATAGCCACCACATCACCGATGGCCTCACCGACGGCTGGGCAGGCCGACAGGCGGAAGACGATGGGCAAATCACGGTACTGGTTGAAGTACTGGACGTGGCCCAACTCGTGATGAGCCGTCAAGAAATCGTCCATGCTCACCTCGGCACACATACTGACCCTGAACATGAAGACGAAATAAACAAAAACTGTTGGTTGATGCCATAAATATGACGGGGGGGGGGGGTTCAGATTTTCTTCAAGACTATTTAGTGAGGCTCCTCTATTCTACAACAGGTACTGAATTAATTACATTTCCTGACTGTTAAGGCAGGGGAGTTGAACTTTTCAAAGGCATTTATATGCAGACGGTGACTTTTTTTTCGGACCTCGCTGCCGAGATTGAGAGGTGACGGTTATTTTGATAAAGGGGCTTTTAATTGCAGTGGCCATACGCCTCTCCGTAAACATGCCCAACTGTTCTTTTTTCTAGATTTAATTACAAAACGTATGCATTTACAAGTTGGTTTGGGTATGGGTAAGCTAGTTGGCATCTTCAGTGAAAATTCAAACAATTTGCAAGCTGCAAACCCAATCCGGTAACATTCAGTACAACAAAACAAATAGCTCAGTGCAATGTCATCTATCAGAAATTGTGTGACCACTGGGTTGCCGAATCAGTCTTACCGAAAATCCTTCTGATCGTAGAATTCCCAAGCCATCGCATGGCACACCACAGACCTCCCGTCCTCTGGTTTAGTCAGACGAGACTTATTGTAGAATCCATCGGGTACGGGGAGCAAGCCCATCGAGGTGTAAAACTCATCTGCAACCTCGAACATGCGACGAACGTTGTACCCCTTGTGACAAACATACGTGCCCAGAAATAGCGTCATGATTGTTACCACCATATTCAGTACTCATATGGTAATGATATTGAGTATGTGAAATCAACTAAGGTTTCACGGAATTGTTCATTTTGTTGACTACCTTGGCAATAAGATTGGATGTTATATCTATGGCTTGCTTCTTTGGATACGGCTTAGCGATGTCGAGGAGGTTTGCCCATTCGCTTGCCCACATATGCCCTGCATTGGTGAGCAAAGACAAGGAAAATATGTCACCTTCATCAAAACCATTTACATCACATCTGAAATTCGTAAACCAAATCAGGTATCCAAGTGAACAGTTTGATTGGCTCAAGCTGGAAAAACAATATCCATGTCGGTCACAGATCGCCTCAGCGATGCATAACCACCGTTTCTTCAAAAGAATATTTTCACCATATGGTGTTTACCGCAAACTAATTTAAGTCGAATAAAGTTGTCATTTCTACGTTAATAGTAAAGAGAACTTCCATCATACCAAGTAAGTGTGCTGGTATCGGCCCTCGAAGATTAATCAGGTTTGGCCCGTAGACGTTGTATAGTTTCCTGCGTATGTAGGCGTGTAGGTTCGTGTACAGAGGGCGCAATTGTTTGTAGATGTTATCCACTTGTTCCTCCAGGTTATCAACCTCGTACCAGGATCGCCACATGGCTCCCTTGTCAGGTTGGTCTGAGGAGGAACAGAGACAGTTGGGTTAGTAAGCGAGTTCGGTATTCCAACTGCGCATGTGCACATCAAGATTTGCCGATTTTTTTCGGGATAAAAAAAAATAATCGTATGCGTGCAAAAGCATAGCGGGGTACCAGCAAAATCATCGTGTTCTGAAGTATAAAATTTGGCACAAAAACCTTTGGACAGCGAAGTGTTTTTAGGTGTCTTGTGTGTCAAAACTTTTGTGCGAACGAAAGTTTCGATTGTATGAAAATTGCACAGAATGCAGAATTGCAGACCACGTCCTCATAGCCTTGTGTGCATTTATCTGCTGCGTTTATCCCGAAAAAAAATCGTCGAATCTTGCTGTGCACCAGACTATTTTGGAATACCGAACTGGCTCAGATTGACTGCTCTAATTAAACGGACCTAAATGGTGGTTTCAAAACCTCGGTTTTCGCTTCATCTGTATAGTAACCTTGAACGTCCAAACCAAACGGAGCAAATCGAAAGGTATATTATAAGGCTTGATTGTTCAGGAAGCAGAACACAAGCCCATGAGCCAGAATCCCCCAAGTCTTGGGCCTAAAATGTCCTGAAGCAAACCGAATTTCACGAGAATTAAAGAAACTTCTGGCGGTGGATTTTAATGTAAGCGCAAGGTGCACTGCGTTCTCACCATTATCCTGTGCCGCTAAATTACTAAGTTCCACGTATCCGGCAAATATTTGCCGCGTGCCCGGCCCAGTCGCGTCTCGCCAGCTTGTCCAGAGATATAGGAGCTCCGTGTAATCCCTGCTGGAAGCCATTAAATTCTCGGCATCTGGTCAAATGATATATACAGTTAATAATCTAGATCCTTTCGGGTCAACTTTTGCTGAAATTTGTAAAATAATAATTGAACCTGGTTTTATAGAGGAAAACATCTGGTTAAAGGCCAAGGTGTTTCGGGTAAAGCAATTAAATTAAGGTGTGAATTTTGAGGTTAAGTTACTTATATCTCAATGGTACCTGCATCGCATTGAATTTTTTTCTGCGATTGCTGAGAATTGTAGTAAAGGTCAAGGATGATATGAATAAGTCATTAAGATTATGGTTCGCAATATCGCACACTTTTGACTACTTTTGACTAGCGTTGGACAACCTTGTTTTTGTTGTAACCGATTTTGTTCACGACTTTTCTCCAATTGTGTTTGAAACTACCATCTTTATTTCTTTCAATGTTCAGCTTATACAACATTATTAATTGAAGAAGGGTCAAACAACAGAGATTGAGCAGTTTTTTGTTTGTTTCTGACTTCTGTTTCTGATTTCGTTGTTTCATACGATATTTGAGGTATAATAATTATTGTTAGAATTCTCACCTGGCACAAAAGGCATACAAGCATCTTCGGTATTCCTGGGTCTGTTACACGCGGTAGCGCCAGAATACCTCGTTTTCATCTGACTTTTAAGATCCTTTAACTTAAGGAGAAAACAAATAACTTTAAAATTCATTTTGGTCCTTGATGTTTGATGTAATAAATATTCAAAACTTGTGTATTCAACACACTAATCCGTAACATGGGCGTCGCCAGGAAGTTTTTCGGGGGGGGGGGGAGGGGGGGGGGCAAAGCATGTTTCCCCTCAAAATTCTTTAACTTTTTCAACATATTCTCAATTTATCATTTTTCCGAGCGTGGGCATGGGAAAATTTGTCCTACCCCCCCCCCCCATCAAATTAACAGCAATATGGCTTTGCACCTATTTTTCCTCCAGCGCCCCCTTGCCCCCACCAAAAAGGGGCAATTGCTTCATCCGTGCTGAAATGTCGACACTTTTTTTCACCAGACACTTGGCCTCCGTTAAATCAAATAGTGGGTGGGGGGGGGGCGCTCTTCAAAACCAGCCATTATGCAAACTACGCATTATGTGCCCATTTTCAGGGCGCATTGTAAGGGTTTGGGCCTTGGTTTTCATATTCCTCGTTCATATCAGAACTCTCTATACCATTTTGGGAAATGGTTACTGAACAAAAATTACCCGCAATATTAGGGCCAGTTTTGTTTTCATCGCGAGGGGGCACATTTATGCTCGAGGGGGCACATTTATGTCAGCAAGAGGGGCACTTGGATAAATCGGGGGGGGGGCAAACGCCCCCCTGCCCCCCCCCCCCCGTTTTCGCCGCCCCTGGTTGAATGCTTAGTTACACTTCATTCCTCGTGCCTTTTTTTTCTCCCTATAAATCTACTTTTTCAAATCTTTACTTGTTCATTTTCATAAAGACAGACTCATTTCTGACTGCACTTACTTCTTGCAACTTATCTTTATCTCTGAAAGCGTTTTCCCCGACGTTGACGATAATCTTTTTGAGTTGGCGGGTGATGTTTGCAGGGAAGTTAGCGGTATCAAACCTGGAAGCATTGACTCGGCCCAGTTTGCTGAATTCCGAGTACTGAAGACGAGCTGCTATCTGTTTGGAAAAAAAAACACCAAATAAAATAATTTACTAACTTAAACGCTTACACATTTCAATTTTCCGATTCTTAAAAGATGAACAGCGCGAAGACAGTGGAAATGATGATTCCATGAAATTTTGCAATAAATTTTAACAACCAATTTAATACCAAACACGCTATCATGGATGACCGGAACTCAAAACCAGAAAACCATAACTCAACAAACTAAATCCCTGGCAAAATTTGACACAACACTGATTCCTGTCTATATGCAGGTCACTTTGCATTTAAAATGACCCCAATTCCTAAACGTATACTCTCCTTTGAAACACCGAAGACGAAATATGTACCTCACTGTTAAGCAGGGGTAAAAATAGGGAGTTGAAACTTTTTCGGGGGGGGGGAAGGAAGATACAAACAAGCTTACTCTCACAACACACAATCCTAACATGACTTTCTCATCAAGCGCCATGAGCGCCTTTTTTAGGCGGATACCGGCGCTTTACAAATGTTCTCTATTATTATTATTATTATTTTTATTTTGAAAGGTTAAAAATGAACCATTGGGTAGCATAAATCTTTGGAATCCCATGATGCCAATATATGCCTGTGCTAGCTGTGTCGACCAAAATGTATGCATTTTTGATTAAGCCTAAGGCTTCGAACCTCATGACCTAACACGCAGAGGGACTATACACAAACATGCCGGGAACATGTTTTTCGTCACCTATAGACCCGACCTAGGATCTAGCACCCCCTAACGCGGCATGTTAACCCACTTTTTGGACTTGTCAGCACCCTCTTGGGGCACTAAAGTCACCGATGATTTATGCTCAGGGCAGCCATTACAAATTTGATGGGGTCTTAGGTCGCTGATTGGATTTTCAAAAAAAGGAGAAGTTTGGTCTGATTTTTATTTGTTACTTTGTGAAACTGTGAGTGTGAACGAGAGAGGTGGAATTCAATAATAGTTTTATTGGAAGGGGTGACATAAACACATTTGTCTTGAATTGAATTAAATGGTTGAATGGAATAAACTCCATCACAGTAGACTCTCTACATATTTAAGCATAAATCATCTGTGTATTAAGATACAAAAACAAATTTAAAGTTAATTCTCCCGACGGAGAACAGAGCGTATATAGAGTCGAGTTAAAATCATGGTTGTACTCAGATATCATAACACACGACCCCAAAAGACACACAATGTTCGCACTACGACAAAACACTTCTCTCAATAACCCAGCAATCTTAAAGTGTACAAATGTAAGTAAAAACCATAACAAAGAGATACGTTTTACGTCCAAACAGTTTACGCGATAACCAAGCAAAACTCAGTCTAAAAAAAATCTTAAAGTAAAAAGTATACCACGAAGAGATACGTTCTACGACAAAACAGTTTACTCAACCGAACAATCTAAATTGTAAAATGTAAAAATGTATGTAAAACATCACAAAGATTAAGACAAAGGTGTAAGTGAATGCAGTAAATCTTACCATCTCCTGGCGTGTGAACTCTGTCAAGTTGTAGTTGTAATTCCATAATTTCTGGACAATTCCCGGCCAGGTCTGGGCTGCCAGGTTGTCGTAATACTCCAGGAAGGCCTCTGCCTCTGTCACATCACTGATCAGAGACTGCCCGACAGCGACACTGAAAAGCTGGCCCAGCAAGACCGAGAGCAAACCGCCCCACAACATCTTCGAGTCGGGCTAGTACTAAAGATCGTAAAATGTGAAGGTCATTATCATGGTACTATTTGCAATCTGGACCGAATGCCCACGCTGGTTGGGACCTGTGCGTGTCACGAGATACTCGTACTGTATCAACCGCGGATCGATCGCGCTTGAAATTACTTTCCCATTGTGTGCGCAGAAATCAACCAATCGTACGCACAGCAGGCTTTGTACCACAGACTCGTCTGGTTCTCGCTGTTTGAAAGGTGAGTGACTTGCAGACTGTGAACACAGGTCAGCGAAATTACTTTGCTTCTGATCTGTACTCCATGATGGTAGGAAGCCTTTTTACATCTTTAAATCAGTTGAACTTGAACTTTAGCAGGAATTCTTTCCGGGGTTATTTTTCCAGACATTTTTCTCCTTCTCAACCAAATCTGGAGATAAGCTTATCTGGAGAAGCAATTGTTTATGGAGACATCACGCATTTGCAAGTTAAGTATTTAACCACGTGGATCTGAAAAAAATTAGGATGACATATTTTTTTGTTCCAAATATTATCACTTTAATTCATACAAAAACCATAAACACAAGCGGCAACCTCTAATTATAAGTTATACTCAAAATCCTTTTAAAAAGTTTTTAACTTAAAAAATGCATGCACCTTATCATAAATACTAACCAGTCTATAACCAAACATACAACATCATGTCTGGTCAGCCGTTAGAAGACTATTTTTTTCCTAAGAACTACTTCATAAAATTTGACGCAACTCGTCCAAAAAGTACGACAGGCCTGTAGCCAAGCAGCCTGGTGTGAGGGTGAGTCTTTTCTCCGAAAGTGGACTTTTTCCTACTGTATTATCTAATTGGTATTACAATTATGAACAGACAGTTAACCTTACAACTGACTCATGTCCAATAAGGGGTTAGGAATTAGGGCTACAGGCCTGTATGGGTAATTTACTAAACGGTCAATAACACACTGGCAAGATTTGAAAGTCCTCTTGGCAATCTCACTGACTATATATACAAATGGGCGTGATGTGGTTTTGCATTCAAAACCTTACGGGGTTGTTATAGGATGTGAATTCCAACAACAGATATTACAAATTACACACTAGTCCCCCAAACCAACTCGAGTGAATTTACATCAAGGATTAGCTCGTATCAAATCCCAAATCAAATCCTCATATCAGATATGTGATATGACTTCGGATTGTTGCGAGTTAATCCTATAGATTGGGATTTGGAAGATAATGTGAATTGCGACGTTCTGAATGCAAAATCCCATCTCGCCTGAAGCTGCTTACAATTTAAACATTCTAAAAACATGATAAAAAACCCACCAGACACTTTCAAAGCTTCGATATAACCTTGAACTTCACAATTTCACCAAGCACTTGGCACAGCACACGAATTCCAGATATATCGGGTCTGTGCAACCGAGTAAAAAAAGGACGAATTACATATTTCCAAGTTCCTTTTTTTGCAGGATAAAGGACCCAATTTCCATAAACCTCTCTGCTGATCACATAATAAATAAGTTATGGTACGAATTAACATGTGTATTTCTGTTAATTTTTTTTATGGGAATGATGAATTGTGAAGTACATTATAAATAATAGTTACTTAAGTTAAGCAATCACACACCTGTGGATTTTCACATTTGATCTTTGCATAACTTTTAAGTATGGGACAAAGTCCTCATCAATACACAAATGTTAATGTTAAATCCAGAAGTACAATAAAAGTGGTTCTGACAACGCTTTCAACATTGATGATACTTACCAACAACTATCGAGTATAACATTTGACAACTATATCAGCCGTTTCAAAACGTCATCATTGGCCGCGCGTTTGCGACCAACTTCGGTTTTGTGTAGACACATTTTGATACTGAACCTGTGCTATCGAATACCTCTAAGATTCGAATGATAAAGGTGCTGGTCAAACGGGCATATACTGACGGAGAAAGTTAATTTGGGAATTCAAACACACACTTATCATTTCTAGGTGTCTGTGACACAATACACCGTTCAGAATTAAACGTCATTGTGACCATTTTCGGTTTTTGTGACGCAACCTAACCTATACGCGCTTATATCACACATTGGTCACATCCCTCACAAGGCAACATTTCAGTTTAATCTTATTAGGCATACAATATGAAGAACTATGACATATCAATTTATACTTACAAATATTCCCACTGACTTCTTGTGACCTTTCAATCTGTATTACTTAGTTCAAAGTCTCGCATTCATTTTACAAATGCTAATTTCTACATCTTTATTTTAATAACCTATTTCATCAGCCTCTCTTAGCCCTTCATGTCCACGGAGCTAGAACAAACTAGGGTACAGGGTGAGTAAAAAAAAACCCGAAACCCAAATGTCGGGACTATAGTTTTAGTGAAGTTCTGCATGTTGCACTTCCAAAAATCTAGGATATGAAAGGCCCATTCATAAGCTTTCTGTTAGTACAAGAATCATTCAAACCACTCATGTAATTTTTAAGTTACAAAATTTTAAACACAACCACCGTTTTAAAGGTCTGTCCACGGATCACAAAAAGGTAACTGTTCTTTCTGCAAAACGAAAACCAATCACAACATTCAGTAACTTGAAAAGTACTTGAGTGATTTGAATGATTCTTGTACTAAAAGAAAGCTTATGCATTGGGCTTTCACATCTTAGATTTTTGAAGTGCTACATGCAGAACGTCACTAAAAAAATAGTCCCGACATTTGGGTTTCGCTCTTTTTGACTCGCCCTGTACCTTAATGTCCTCTCAATGAACAAAGTATAATCCCAAAATAAATATGTTGTTGAAGTTTGAAAAATTGCATTCTTCAAAACATCAGTACATGTATGTGTTATATACAACATCGATATACATGCACATTTACATGGAAAACATGTTGCCCTCGTACAGTTCGTATCATAGGTCTCTTTTTCAAAGAAAATAATTATTTCAAGACTCATTTACTTCAGCACGCGAAAATACCCATGGTTCCGAACAATAAGAAAGCCTCAGTCTCCAGTGTTAGAATAGAAATAAGTTTATCCAAGTAGAAAAACATACTGACCATACCGCAAACCTCTCACTTATTGAACATACTAACCCTTGTATGAACTACATGTAAATACCTCATTCTAGAAGTTACTGGTTGAATGTTTAGAATAAGAGCAAATGTCAACTATACATTATAAAAAAAATTGCCGATTCTGGGTTAAGAATCTCTGGTAATCCGGCAAGAGACATGGGAGATTTACACATCACACTTGCATTTTCAAAGCTGGTGGGAGAACATGGACGGTGAAAGAAATCCACATGTTGAAGCAATTATCGATGGCGAACTTGTTATCGTGCAGTCTGCCAAATCATCAGGATGATCCCTGCATTGGCCCGATACCTTACGTTCGGTGCCTCTCTTTAAAAAAAAAATGGAATACCGATGAAATATTTCCCTAAGATCAAAGTCTGTCAAAATACGTGTTCCAATAAACCACGGCAATTTGTTGAGCCTCGTTCCAAGTTGATTGTCGACCTATAGTGGAATGTTAATTACTAGAACAGAGAGAATCATAGTTATAGCTTAGATTCACGACGGCCCTGAAGTCCCATTAATTTTTTTCCCTATTTTTTTTAAAAACTATTAGCCGCACGAACAGCACTCTTTCAGACAAACAAAGTCTCTCAAATATAATACTGTAGATGCGCGATACATATATTAATACTTTAGGTTAGGATTTGTAATGATAAATTGTGGTTCTTTCAAAACACCTATACCGTTCTCCCTCTTATAGTATCAAAAATAAAAAGGAACAGAACTTCGACATTCAAAATGTTGTTAAAAAATTAAGAGGTTTCAGTGCTTTCGAACGATCTGTAAGATCTTGAACTGCTCAATGAATTAAATTAAAGTAGGGATGTTTGTCTCCCTTACCAATGCGATATCGAAGCAGTCAACGAGTGCTTTGCGATTGCGCTTGCTTACCTCAATGTCGGAATACTGACTCGACGAAACGCAAGACAATTTCTTGAGTTGCTTTTGTATAAGCTCAGCACACGAGTCACTTATTATTCTTACATTTCAAACTAACTTCCCAAGCATTAGCCTCACAGTTGCTTGAGACTTAAAGAAAATACATAAACTTTCCTGGGTAAAAACATCAGCCTTTTGGCATCGGCGTTCCACACATGCATGGAATCAACAGTAGATGACGGACACCTGTGAAAATCATCATCATCTTCTTTATCTTCATCATCATCATCAGTCCCGTTCGCAGTCGCGTGTATGGAGCTTGAGGATTCCTTCCTTGTGCAGCTGCCATAGTATCTGAAATTCGTTGCTGAACTTGTGGGCATTGGTTTGTTTCCTATCATCGAAGAAGTGATTCTTTAAAGTTCTTGGGATGGGGTAGACAGTCTTGGGGAAGGGCCAGAAGCCGAAGAGGCGCACCTCCTTGCACATGGTGAGGGCCGTCTGGGCAAGATAGAACCCTGAGATGAGGAGGCAAACAAATGAAACAGGTCTCATTAGTTTCTTGAAGGGATGAAGACGGGACGGGACGAAGGGAGGGACAGGGAGAAGAAAGGATCGAGCTCAGTTTGTCTGGAACTAATCAAAGAAATTTATCTTCAATGATCAACTTGGCGACTTAGGAACACTGGTTTCCAAAACATGCGTCGATCAACTAAAAGAAAAACGGAATCCCTTTTGAGCCACACCGTTTTATTAAGTTGTTGAGTGTTTTAATCCCTATAACGGATGGGCAAAGGACCCTCGCTGTTCTATAATGTGGAAAAATGTCATTTTGAGTGAAGGAGATAATGAAAGGAGTGTATGTTATGGATGTTGGGGAGAACTCGAAGAGATGCACTCAGATAGATAATAAGGGCATAAAGCGTGAGATTAGAGAAGGGCTGACAAATGTTATCAATTGGAACTGAAAAAGGCTCGCCAGAAGTTGAAGCATTTAGGAGAGTACAGCTTCCTCCAATTGGTCGCTTAATGTCAGTGATATTTCAGCAAATAGAACTGACGAGGTAGATCATATAACATACCATTACTTTTTCTGCACCATGATTGTTGTACAATATCAACTAAGCTTCACTTAAAACAAGAACTGGCACTAGTGTTGCGTTGACTTACCCGATGACATGAAGTGTATTCCTGCGGGATTCCACGTCTTCATAATTCCTAATAAATGGTTAGGATTTCCGACGGTATATTTTAAGCTGTCTCCCCGCAGACCCTGATTGAGAGCCGGTAAGATTTTGGACGTGCACAGTTTCAAAATCTTCGGATCAAACATGCAAGGTAAAAACAGCTGGCCGTTAAACTCTTCCAAGTCTTTCAGGAATGCTAATACATCATCGTCCGTCGCAAATGTGTTGTACCTAAAACAGTAGAGAAGACAAACAACTAGGTAGTTCAGTTTCTGGAAATGAAAGAAGCCGCTCCCAGTATTGGGAGGGGGAAAATCAGAATCAAGGTAAAATTCAACATTCCAGATCGAGTCAGGGACGGTAGAAAGAAATTCCTTTTAGAATCAAGAAAGTTGAGAAAGACTCACAAAAGTTGAGAATATGATAGGAAGATAGAATGCTCTTTTTAAGTCAAGAAAGATTTACCAAATTATTCAGAAATATTAAAATCAAAGTTAGGTAGCAATGACGACGAATCGAGAAACAGAGGTAACATTAAAGAGAAGTTTCTGCATAATGTGGGATCACAAACACTGGTGTGTATAAAAAAGGAAATTTTTATCATAATTTCACAAAAGGACAAAGATTAGAGAAGATATCCAGTAAGAGTTCATCCATAAACTGACTCGTGTTGTAAACTCATAACAATATACCAAAATGTAGGCTTGAACTCTCACCTTGTAGCAATTATACTTGGATTCATAGTGGTAAAATTTGTCTTGACTCCAGCATCGAATGCAAACTTCTTGACGGGAACCATATTGCACCTGTTTCAAAGCCAATTAATTGATTCATTAATAAAAACATCAATCCAACAAAATTATTGGTGATATTTCAACATTTTAGTTTATCTTGAATAGCTTTTCAGGTCTTCCATAAAATGTATACCGGTACATGTAAAATTATTAGCGTTTTCGTATGGCAGAGTGCTTGGCTTGTTGCTTTGAAAATAGCCAACGTTATTAGCATGAATGTTTATTTGTCAGACTTGAAATCAAACAGTGAAACAAAAAACAACAGAATCCGGAAATCCCCAGTCACATACCTGAGTATATAATCTGATTTATCTATTTCTTTTCCACAGCCACTGTCCAATAGTAACCCTCCATTCCCTACGACGCTGCACGTTTTAAACAAAGTGTCTTTGTGATGAAACGGCTTCTGTAATTTAGTGGCAAGAGAAAAAAGAAGAAGAAATGTGGTTAAATTAAAGGGTAATATATTCAGGTGGGAAGAAGAAGCAATCGTGTGATTACAGTCTGTGGTAATTGGAGTTAACCATACTCTCGCTTTAAGTTTTATTACTTGAGGAGCGTGGGCAAAGACGCCCTCACAAGGCGCACCGGTTCTAGATAGCTCCAGCTGATACTGCGCAGGAAATTCGATTTGTTGCAAAAGTTCATAGGGGAGGTCACAGGGAGGTCATGTCTGGACTCCGTGCATAATCACTCCTTTGGCGTAAATACATAGCTCACACTCATGCGGTGTTTTTTTTTCGTTGAGTACTCCACCCGATTCACGCGAATCTGCACTCCTTCGGCCACTGGTTCCCGTGGCTAGACTAAACAGCGCCATCTATACTTTCACATCAGTTACTTAAATACTGCTGACAAACACTTCACCTTTCCTCCCTTGTGTTTTTGCTATGGGAAGAATTATACCTAACAAGTACATTACAAACGTATCAGAGTTTAGCGGGAAAGAAATAAAGCCAACGTTTGCCTTTCATTTCCAATTGGTGCCACAAATCACACATGAAAGGCCACATAAAAGCCTCGTGGCGTACATGTAACGTTTAACAGAGTCATTACAATATGCATATCCGGTAAACGTAACCAGATTTCTCTGCAAGGATACTTCCTTGCTTTTTCCTCTTCACACCCACAGGCTATATTTGGTTACTCCATGGTTTATCAATCTGTGTGTCTTCCTGTGACCGACATACGAAACGACCAGTGAATCTACAGAAGACTAGAGATTTCTATCCCACGGCAAAGTTGCAATAGGAAGGCTTGTCTTCCTTGATAATTCCAAAAATATATTGTCTCTTTACGACAAATTATGTTTTACGGCATTGGGGACAGTGAGTCATACAGGTGTTTCCTCCATGCATATATAGGAGGACAGAGAAGCCATGAGTGCACGACACAGTCCAACTGTCGACGCTTTGTAGGTCAGGGCAGGTCGAAGAATATATTTGCATTTTGTTCAACAAAATCGAAGTATATATTTGCATTTTGTTCAACAAAATCGAAGAATATGTTTGCATTTTGTTCAAAAAAAAATGGAAAAAAATTAGAAGAGAGAACATGGGCGTCGTGAGGGGGGGGGGCAAGCAGGGGCACTTGCCCCCCCCCCTGGAAAAGCAAAAAAAAAAAAAAAAAAAAAAAAAGGAAGAAAAAAAAAGAAAAGAAAGAAAGAAAAAGAGGCGCGAAGGCATGTGTAAATTTAATGAGTTGGGGGGGGGGCCCAAAATGTCCCTGCCCCCCTCTAAAACTGATAAATCGAGAATGTGTTGAGAAATACAAGAATTTTTTGGCTAAATTTTTTTTGCCCCCCTCTAGAAAAAATCCTGGCGACGCCCATGAGAGAGAATGAAGCCACACTGACTTGGATTTTGATCACAACAAGAATGATTTAGCACAGACCTTTTAAAATATGTGTTATCATTTATAATTGATACAAAATGTTATTCAACGTCATTAGAAATGTACATGTAAGTGAGTGCAGAATGGTGACCGAAGATCACTTTCCCCGAAAAATTGCCCAACGGTTGTTTTGAAGTGACGAGCTTTCTAAACGTAAACGATTTATAGGGGTGATTTGTTGAAGGAAATATTCACCCAAGAAAATCAGCACAATAAAGGAACACGTAGAAGAGAAAGTGAAAGATAAATAATAAAAACATGTACATGTATTTATGTTCATAGCTAGTCACTAAAAGCATAGGACGCTGCGGTGGTTTCCCTTTCTTCCCAGTTGAAGGTTTTTGTTAATTCAACGAACCATCATATAGTACTCATAACTTCGAGTTAAAGGTCAACGTCGAACAAAAGAAAAAGGACTGCCATAACAAAAGTATACTCCCTTGGGGAATTTCCAAATGCGAAGGTTATGTTTGGAATTTCATTTACAGAAATACCTTTTAAGGTCGAAAACGCGGGTGCAATCGTTAAACAATAAGCCTCAGTTTAATCGAGGGGCAATTTTAAAATGTACACAATTCAACGAGGTCTTGCGCAAAACTATTAATAAGGCCTTTGAATTATTTTATTTTCAAAGCATAGATATTTCCGGGTTGTGCAGTTACAAGCTGATGTACCTCATCATGATCGGGTAGGGCGTATTTGTGTTTGAGTTTAAAATGTGGGGAAGAGTTATGTCAAGGGGTAAATGGGTTGAAAATACAGTAACCTCTATGGAAATGCAAGTGCAGGGGATACAAAAAAAGAAACTATAAGCCCAGAATCTGGTAGATTATCCTGTAATAGTCAAATTGAAAATTTTGTTTGGAAGTGTCATCTCTGGGAAAATTGGTATTGGAAGAGTAACTGCATTAAAAATTAAATCCCAAGCTATGAACTGTAGTCCCAGAAATGAATAGTCTCTTAGGAGGTTTGTTAGAAAAGTAAGCAACCCCCCTCCCCCGGTCCCCCCCCCCCCCCAAGTAATAAACTGAAACCACGGGAATAATTATGGACCATGTAGCTCCCTGTAGATTTTCATCTAATAGTTACATTGACATTTTGTTAGGAAGTGTCATCTGTGGAAAAATTTAGTTGAAAATAACTGTAGTTTGTTACAATACTGGAACAGGGTCTTTAAAAAGGCGCAGGCCGATTGTATAGTTTGGGACAATCATTTTAATAACACTAAAACTTTTTTTATTTAGATTGAACTGCATTATAGTCTGAATAACCAAAGACATGTTGCAAATCTGGATTTTTGTTGTTGGTGTGTATGCGAGAGAAATATCAAGTATACGATAATGATAGAGAGGGACATCAGCGAGTATTACCTTTGGTAGATAGTTGAGAAGTTCTGGTTGAGGATGGTATGTCCTCAAGCTCTCGTCCAGGAAGGGTGAATAGAAAGGAAGACGTGTAGCTGAATTCGTGTTCTTCTGGTGTAAAGTGAAATCATCTATTGTGGTGAAATCTGATGAACGCAAAACTTCCTCTCTGTAAAAACACATATATGATTAATATACTAACATCTTTGTCGATTTCTACCACGAAACTTTTTTAGGCGAGGGCCCAAGTGGTGGTAACATTTCAAATCTCATATATAATTTAAAAACAAATCAAGAGGGACTGTCTGTTAAGCTCCGAGTTACCTTGAGGCATTGTCAATTATGTTTTCAAGTTGACTTTACAAACATCCCCCTTGATAATCCCATTTGATCAGTAATTATTAATCAGTACATGGCCGCGGATAGCTCTTGACCTCTGACTCTCTGCAATATGTAAATAGACAAAATGACTCGAACGGACTTCATTTTCAAGGACAGGATGCTATGCCAATAGGCGGGAGATAATGTTATCAACAGATAACAGGTGTACCGGTAGGTGACAAGTGCACCACTCGGATGCTCTCTACGATGTTGGATCTGGGGTTAATATTCAACTGGGTTCCTGATAAGCTCGACTGTGAGTAACAGGTTATGACTGCCACTGCATTTACAATCACAATTCTTTCGCTATTTACACACTGGTCTCATGATTTCGCAATCAATCACAGCTACCCTACATAATGCCATGACATTGACAGTTTGGAGTGCAACGTACAGTACATGCTTACACACGCATCATTGACTTGGACTCAATTATGTGATCAGCTCGATCCACGACCTCTGTATTATACAACATCCCGCGCGACACAAGCAATGAATGTGCCGAGAAGCAATGTAAATGTACAGGAGAATTTTCCTTTTCAAACTTGAACAAGTAAATGTTTATAACATGAGTTTAAATTTGTCAGTAACAGTTACAAGAACCATCAATATTTTGTGCAAGCCGTTTTTACCAAACCGCTATCAAATTCCCTTTCGCTGATGTTTACTGGCCTAACTATTTAGTCTTTTGGTGAGTAAAATAATATTCTGCTGTAAATTAGTGAGCTAGGTATGTTAATTCAAGATTTTTTTTTCTGAAGGAAGCAAGTGGTTGATGTTGTTACATTTCAAACACCGAATGCCTCTTAGGTTATATTTACAAATCAGCTTCATCTCTGCTTTGTGATAATACAGTGTTTGTGATGCCGGTGTAATTAAAACTACAATGTATATGTCATGTATCAAAAAATACAACGACTTACCGATGAGCTTCCACTAAATCTGGTTGATGACCCCAATCTGACAGCATATATTTCTGATATATGAACAGAACTTCATCTTGGACGGAGGTGAAGGTATGCACGAATTTGGCCCTAAAAAAAACAAACACAACAACCAAATGTAAACACTGGAATTTGGAAATCATCGTGTATAAAAGTATAGAGTGTTGTTCCTAAATCAGCACTATATGATATCCTATATTAGTATTGCTGTGATAAACCAACAAATACTGATTCATCTGACACTGATAGAACGATATATCAACTGAGCATGTTAAGGGCAATTCCACGGTTTCTCACGTTACATTTTTGATGTACTTTTGAGTTTCCTTGAGCTGTAATTACCTTACTGAAAAGGTTTAATAACTGTTATCCCCATGGTTAAATGTGTTATGTATGATAAACAAGACGCACACAATCGGTTACTCACGTTACGAAAATGTAACGTGAGTAACCGATTTTGTACGTCTTGTTTATCATACATAAAACATTTTTCTGGAGGTCACCTTTGGTGCTTAGGTAGGTCTAGGTCTACTCTATCTTCCTTGGGGATAACAGTTATCAACCTTTTCAGTAAGGTAGTTACAGCCCAAGGAAACTCAAAAGTACATCAAAAATGTAACGTGAGTAACCGTGGAATTGCCCATAATGTAATGATATATTTTTTCTTGAATAAGATTACGGGCCGGAAAATATCCTGCAAAATATTCAGCACTATAACATACCGGCCAATAATGCATATTGATTAAGCTTTATAGAGGCTGAATTACACCGCGAAGTACTACACGGGATGGCTGTGCTAATGAATAATACTGTCCTTCGAAGATAATAACATGCCTTCTTGTACATGTACAATGTACATGCATGCATAGAACTGCGCAGTAGTTTCCTCATTAAAACATTTCACGCATGAAAAAATAAGACGCCCCTGAGAGAAAACCCCCCCACTACACATGCATTTATTGTTTAATGACTTCCAAACTCGGGTGTATTACAATACATATGAATGTTTGCGTCCTTAAAATATGTTTGTTTGAATCAAATTATGTAAATTACAAGGCTATTTCGCCATTTTTGACATGGTATCTAAAATCATGCATTATTCTGCTAATAATATTAGAACCTGCTGCCTAATCCTGCATATGATTGGACAAAGAAATGTACTGGTACTGGATTGGACGAAGAGACAAAGAAATGTACTTGATTGGACAAAGAAATGTACTTAATTGGACAAAGAAATGTGAAGGTGATTTTAATGTTCGCTCAGTTACAATGTTTGCTAACAAATTACAGCATGATGACAATTCTGGAACTATTTCTAGATGTGCATACTGTCTGTAAAAGACCTTTTATTTGATTTGTGTATGACAAGAGACATCTGTCACTATTTTCCATGAATATTACTGGTATCTGAATAAACAAAATTGACTATATTAGGCCTCTGTTATTGCAAACACGTGCACCTGATATTCTAAACACGATGCAATAAAACTTAGCAAGAATTACATTTCCAGACATGTCGTCCTTGGGGAGCTGTAGCTCGAGCTCTAAGCTTATAAGGTTTCATTTTTCATGCTGACAATTCAATGATCTTGTTGGTGCTGTAATGACCCCTACTGCAAGCCTAAATACATGTACATGTAAATAGCGAAACACATTTTGTTCATACAAAGAGGCAGCAATGAATATAGACAGAATGGTAACCAATATTTATCCTCCAGAGAATATCATGCAGCCATATTGGTAATATATAAATGTATTAAAATCTCTCTCCAAATTATCTTGCTCAGGTTGAACACACAAATCATCCTCATAATACTAGGGCTATAGTTTAATTGGAAACTCCAGCTGATACTAATCTTAAGAGGGGTCAAACCATGTTTTGTTACAGAGGTGCTAAACTATGGAATGACTTGCCAGTTTTAGTCAGAGGCCAGCCAGATATCAAGTATTTTAAAGCAGAGTATTCCAAGTATAAACTGCAATTTTATCTCCTCCATTATATTTTGACAGTGGGTGTGTGTGAAATTGGTTTTGGGTTGCATTGGTTACATAATTTTATGGGTGGGTTGGGATTGTGATTTTAGTTTTAATGGTTCCCAGTCTGTACGGTGTGTGTTTACATCACTGTTTTTTTCTTTTCGCATCATATTTCTGCAGGAGTTCAGTCACTCGGTTGTTATCCATGATTTCTCTGTTTATTTGATTGTGGATCACCTTTTGTACTTATGTGGTCTATGGATTTTACTTATATGTAGGGCCTACACACATTTCCTATTTTTTTGGCTGTTTGTTAAACTAGGATATTGCAACATTTGGTTATGCCTTTGCTCGGAAAACTACTATTTGTATGCATCTGCACTTGGGTGTTCATTTTACGTATTGTCTTCCATGCATGTATTATCTATGTATTTTAGCATATTACATGTACATGAAATTTTATAGTAATTTTAGTACCAGCTGTTGATGTTTTATATATGTCTGGTTGTAGCGTTCAAGGGTGAAATGTTTATTTTTTTGTACACTGTGATGGGCATCAGTGGAAAACAGTATTATGTACCGATCTGATTTTAACCAGTGTTAACAAGATTAAACAAACAAAGACATGCTACATGCTTGCTGTTTAGATGCATTGCTTGCAGCCATGGTTGTAATGTCAAAATTACTAAAAGAAACAGGTGTCATACACGTACCTGCCAAACAATGCAGCACTTCTGAACGATGCTGTCCAATCTTCACTTGTTGGGGATAATGCCGAACTGATCGCATTATATACTGATGGACCTCCTCTTAGGACTACCATCCAAATGACCATAATTAGGATGGCAGTGGTCAGCATCCGTAGCTTGACAAACTGCCGCATTTTGTTTGTTTTTAATGACACCTGTAAGATAATAATGGACGGCGGTTAGAACGGTCTACTAGTGAGTGGACGTCAAACTTACGGGTTGAACTTTGAACGCTGACCACTGACATGTGCACGTCCAGTCATGCCAGTATATATCGACCAGCGTGCTTTACAAAAGATCAATGGCCATTAAAATTTCATTATTGTGACTGTGAGCCATGCATATTCCTCCTTCTGGGGGAAGGTGAAACGTTTTGGAAACCAATGTACAAATCAAACATGGTCAAAAAGATAGCCAGATCGATGGTTGTTTTTGGAAGGATTGGTCTGCACATGTACATGACAAAGCTATTCACATGTCATTTTGACAGTCATGACAGTGAAAATTCCCATTACACACCCTTGTGAAATTATTCTACGTCTAACATGTGAATCCCGGCCCACAATCTCGTTACGAAAATCAATCTCAAACCCCAAGTGTTTTCAAAATAAATTCCGAAGATAGTTTCGGTTACACCACTCACCTAAAAAGAGCAGATTTTACGAGGGAAAAAACGGCTGAGTTCCAAACGAAATGCATGTAGGCTCATCTATTATCCTTCTCCATAGTCGGGGAATGTGTAGTGTGGTAATCGCGGTTACGGCACCAGCCTACAACGTGCTAGGGCAACAGAGGCGTAGAACCCGACATGCGTGAAAGCACAAATTCACGACCCACGCTATATGCTGGACAGTCGTACAGCATTAGTATACCATGTGTCAACAAAGACATAGGCAGTTTATTGTTCGTCCCAAGGACGCCGCCCCAACTCCAGCACAATAGCCTCTCGTTGCTACCATGTGTCTTAATAATTTAGTTGTTCTACTTCCTCCTCGTTTAACAGATGTTTAAAAAAGTTAACTTGCTGTATTTCCATTTAAGATCAAATTAATTTCACATGAGGAACTGCACATGCATGATATACAGCTGCGACCATCCCGCGAGCGGGAAAAACCTGACGAACGGTGCCAACTTTTGCATTACGGGATGAGTCACTTTTGAACCATGGAGCTCATGCTTTAATCATTGTGTTGGCTTCAATTTCTGTGAAAAACTCTTAGAAATAATCGCCCGAGGTGGATAGATCAAATACCACTCAGTGTGAAAAAGAAAACTGAATTTGAAATCCAGACATTTTGGGATTTTGACGCCATAAGTCCAAGTGGAAAACACCCTTGTTTGTTGACGCGGTGCCAAACGAACAATCCCGGTGTATAATGATTCCGTACCAAATTAATTCATCAACTAAAATGACGTAAAATATTGATGTGATGACTGCATATGAATGCTATACCTTACAAACCTGGAATCAATTCTTGGTCGAAAAAAAGTCTGGCGTGTTTTAATGATGTGCGTATATTTACCGGACCGTCGCAGTATCACTGAATAATTAAGATTGGCAAACAACTTGGGATTACCTCGTCCTCAGTCAGTCAAGGCCGTTGGCTGACTAATGACACATGCGCGGCGTGTATCATCAATAGAAACCACAAAATAACTGGACGGACGGACTGACAGTCAAGCATGGATCAGATGTACATTAGCATAACAGTACTACATGTACATGAATATCTACAATACAGCATCTATAATAATGATATTATCACAAACGCACTGTTGGAAGCCTGAGGACCATTATCATATTGCAGCCATTTGGTTTTCCCATTCACATCAATGTAACCACAGAGAGGCTGGAGGAAAAATAGTCTGGTTCCTTTTTGCACAAAAAACATTATCATTCAGTACTGTTATTGGATACAGGGAACATGAGTAAAATGGTGGAAGCATTATATATGTCTATTAAGCGTGAAGTGAACAGAATACTCCAGGAGTCGCTTATTATGATAACAATGAGAGGACTGGTGTGTTTATTTTGTGGGACGATAGCTAATTAAAAATTGGCTGCACATCCGAATTTTGTTTTCGTTGATCCATTTTTATTATCGATCCCTTTTCTCTCTTTTTTTTTAACGGAATATTCCATCATCCAACCCCACTATACAGATGATGAAAACAAAACCCAGCGCCCCCAACTGCACGGAGTTGTATGGGGGAAAAGGGTCTAATGCCGGGGTCTTTCTTATCTACTGGGTTCCGACGATCGCGTGCTGGGGTCAGGGTTGAAAAAAGGTGAACCCTGGGATGATGATTTTATTATGGTACAACGTACCGTACAAGCATCAGAGCAGCGCAACATCTCACCAATGAACGACTTGAAGACGAGTCTAATGTCACAGCGCTCCGCCTAGCCTACGTCCTGTAGCCGCGGTCAGATTCTGATGCAGGAAGTTAATTTTCTCTTATTGTGCCTGCTCTAGCATGAGGAAGTAAACAATAAATTGACAGTAATTACTTCCCTAGTCGACAGGAGCCTTGAGCCTGTGGTGCCTATTATCATTGGTATAATTCTAAAGGAGACTCGGAGAGGCCGGGGGTTGAAATTCATTAACATTAGAATTCTTCAAACATGAAAGGCAAACATATCAGATATACATGTATCAGCATGACATTGCAACCAATGGGCAAAAACTACATCTGACGCGTTTAAAGGCATCCTCCCTGTCATTTATTGTCGAATTGAACCTCTTGCACATTAACGATTCCAGTTGAAGAAAAAAAACCAGCTTGTAATCACAGGTGGCAATTTGAAAATGATTTTAAAATTGACAAAAAAATCTGCCCTCCTATCAATTATTATTTGCAAAATATACAATATGTTTGCTGACGAGAGTTTAACAACTGGTCAGCATGCTTAGTCTCAGCATGATGAAGGTTCCTCCATGGTCTCAGCTACACAGCTTCAGTTGGTCAGTCTTGGATAGTCTATATATGGAGGTACGAACCATCATGTCTAAACTTGAACTTCTCGGGTTGAAAGTCTCAGCTTCACTATATAGTCATGCCTTTGGCCATAAATTGAAGTGTACCTTAATACAATAATATTGTTCAGGTTTAGACAGTTTAAGGACATTATTGCACTCAGTGACTCAGTCAGTCCGTGACTCATTCATCAGAGGACTGGGAGCTGCTCCAGCAAAAGCTCACTCCTCGCAGTCCTGCGAGTGGATCTTCAAGATGCCCTCCGCGTGCTGCTGCCACAATATCTGGAACTCGGTGTTGAACTTGTGGGAGTTGCTCTGAGCCATCTGGTCAAAGAAGTGATACTTGAGAGTCTTGGGGAGGGGGTAGAAAGTCCTGTTGAAGGACCAGAAGCCGAACAGGTGCACCTCTTTGCACATGGTTAGAGCCGTCTGGGCAAGATAGAACCCTGATATGGAAAAGAAAAATATATCTCCGTCATGTCGGCAGTGTGTGTATGGTGAATGATGGGTGGTGCTGTCAATTTCGACTTGATTTTGCACGCTTTCTCACTACATTTCTCCTTAATTATTTCCCGTTTGGCTCTCTGAAATATTTTGAAATATGGTGTTTTAATAGTATATTTCGAAAATTTTCCATATATTTTGTCGATACAATTGTCAGTTTCTAGCAACACGTTTCAACAGTATGTTTTTGTAGTGAATACAATATAAACTCAAACCTAATATTAAATTTTGGAAAATGTTTACCATGAAATTGACTGGAGCGGGGCTTGAACCTTCGACCTCCGGATATCCGCACCGGAATGGTACTCCGGAGGTCGCAGATTCAATCTCCGCTCCAGTCAATTTCTTGTTTCAACTTTTCAATTGTTATAATTCACCTATCAGTTTCCCTCTGTGGTTCATTTGAAATATACTAATACTGATATTGAATTTAGATGACATTGATTTTGCTGCATGACATTTCAAACCGGAACCGTAACTGACTTCACTACCACGCAGTCGTCATGTCATGGATCCAAAATGGCGGCATGTTAAAATTAGTCAGGTACCAATGACCGCAGAGACAAGACCTGAATTACCGGCGTAGAAAAAACCAATAAGTCACACCTGTTGACATGTAATTGATTCCTGCATGCTTCCATAGCTTTATAATCCCCAGCAAGTGTTTGGGGTTCCCGATCGTTACTTGTGCAAATTTTCTTCCTTTTTTCTGAGCTTCGAGTATCGCCGGTAGGAGCCTGGACGTGCAGGTTTTCAGGACTCCTCCGTTGATCATGCAGGGGATAAACAGATGGCCACTGTACTCTTTCAAGGCTTTGGCGAACCGCTTGGTATCCGTGGACAAATGAAAACCATGGTATCTGAACGAATAGAACAAAAATCAGAAAGAAGCCAAAATAATAAATATTGAGCAAGGAATGAACATGATTGTAGAATTACCTCGTCGATAATTATGCCCAAAATCTTTCAACTGCTGCACCGCAGCACAGCAAAACAAGTCGTCCATGAAACCGCAATGGACTAGATTTTTTTTGATTTTTTGCATTATCCCTGTTTTTTTTTTTACTGAATGGGGGATTCTCTATGTTTAATTCTTAATTTTCAGATCAAAATAATGTTTTTTCTTGTTAAATCTTGATCAATCTGTATCATTATTATGTGGAAATTGCTAATAAATCTTAATTGCTAATAAATACTTGCAGAACTCAGAAAAAGGTTTCCCGTTTATGTATTTTGCTCCTGAAATGTGTGACCACTTATTGGTGTTGAATATAAGCAATTTTCAAATTAGGTTTTTGCCCTTAACCGACGTTTAAACACTGTATACTCAGTGTGTTACCTCCCGAATGAAAGTTGGAAAAAAACGTCGGTGAAGGGCAAAAACCTAATTTGATTGATATCACCCCGACGCAAAATTCCATCTTATAATAAGCAATTTTGTTTTTAATTTCAATTCATCGTTGGTGTTAATTTTAATTCAGTTTGTTATTAAACACTTAATTATATAAAAATGCTCACCTTGTACTCATGATACTTGGATTCATTGTAGTGAGATTTGTTTTGTATCCAGCGTCGATTCCAAATGTCCGTATCGGCACCAGGTTACACCTGTCAACACATTATACAAACCAAAAGTGAAATTAAAAAACCCGGAAATTAGAGAAATACTCAAAACAATACCCAAAGCAGCTATTAATACTACTGAAATGTTATGTAAATAGATACCGAAAGCGTTTGGCTGTATCACCTTTGAAAATTCCTTATCACATGCACGGCAGATGATTCGAGGATACTTGTATATTATATTAAGGAAGGGATAATTGTATCAATCCTTTTTTTACGATCCATGATTGAATTTCAATCTTTGTTTACTCTTCACCTTAGCACGTAATCCGCTGAGTCAATTTCTTTTCCGCAAGCGCTGCGCAGAAGAACGCCTCCGTTTCCTACCACGCTGCACTTGTCAAGAAGAGTTCCTTTGGGGAATATGGGATTCTGCGAATAGGAATAACAAAAGTACATCTCACTATATATATACTTTCAGTGATGAAGAGAAAAACTGGAAACTAAGGAAAAGTGCACGGATGTTGTGAGCGCATGATTATTAAGGTGAGGAGGCAGACAATCGATTTGACAATCTTCTTCATCCGCCAATCTTCCTAGAAGAAAAGGTATTAATAAAGACTACTTCTGTTGATGGAGACTATAATCTTTTATGCAAAATCTTCCGTAAGTTATCACTTTCTGATTTCATGGGCGAACTCAACCCTGACAAAATCAGTGACAATTGGTCACCTACTAATATTTACAGTGGTTACTATTTTTTTTTTTTTTAATATACTTTAGTTTATTGACACATTTTCCCCAACCTTTGGCAAAAACTGGAGGAGTTCTGGCTTGGGTTTGTACAGAGGCCCCCGATAACCTAATTTCTTGTCGTAAAACGGCATGAGTGTGGACGAATTGGTGTTCTGCTGTGTCAGGACAAACTGGTCGATTGCGGTAGAATCCGATGACTGGAAAATTTCCCTTCTGCATTCAAACAAAGGAAAGTCAAGAGGAAGAGATTTTAATGCACTTAGCGTTGATGCATTTTTTTCTATTGATTACAAAATTGATCACACGTATACACGATATCGCATGTGTAATTTCCGCTGGTGAGGGCGCTATCCACATAAATATAGGCCTACACTGAAACAGGTGGGTTGATGACTTTCTGATGAGTTAATTACAACTCGAAATGTAGTTTGGTGTCTTACAGCTTCATTATCGTATTCCCAGGACGGTTAATGTCTCTTTTGCAATGTACCAGCCGTGCTTCTTGCCAACCAAGGGTTGACAAACTATGGAGGGAAAGTATTGTAAAACACACGAATAATTATAAAAAATAATCAAAATTGAGTATAACCAACCGACTCTACAAAAAAATATATGATATGATACAGGCCTGAGTGCTACTGGGGGCAAAGTTTGTTGCAAACCATGCACGGTTAATGTTTCTGCCATACAAGATGGCGCTCAATGTTTACAAACAAATCAAAAGGAAAAGAAAGTTCAAGAGAAACTTGATGGCAAACAGACCTAAAGCTCCGCACTCGGTCAGGACGGGCCTTCCAGTTGGACAGAATGTACTTCTGGTAAATGAAGAGAGCTTCATCTTGGAAAGAAGAGAAGGTTCTGACTATCGAGGCGATGACAGGTACTGGTGTCGTTGGCAAGGATACATTCACAGGTGCAGGTAAACTGTTAGTTAAACAGATGTCTAAAAATTTGATACCAGATAAATCATGGGCTTGATATTAAAGTCCTTTTTGCACGAAAAATATTGTAACAAGACATTACTTTATCAATCAAAATAAACAAAAATGACAACCAAAAGAAACAAAATATACAAAATGGCAGCCCATAATGCATTGAAACGAATGCACTTAGTCTAGTTTTATATCATAAAATTAATACAGTTTACAGCACCAAATTAGGAATGCGGCTAAGAGGAACACCAATAAGAACTGAAGAAAAAAAATCAATCGAGAGATTGTGATGACGCATTACAAATGTTGAAAACAAATTGCAAGGACTCTTTTCTTTTCGAAAACTGTGTCATTCAATCGTCATGGCAATACCTTTCAGCAAACCTCCTCTGCGATGGCGATAAAGCCTCTTTTGTTGTTACCATGGAGATGAAAGCATTATGTAGCGATGGAATCTCGTCACGTGTGACCATTAAGATGATCGCTATTAGACCAAACCAGGTGAGCAGTCGCATCAACCGTAGGATGAGGAATAAGCGCATGGTTGACAACATCCACCTGCTAAATGAATACAAACTTCAATTAGTGAAGTCTCTCTCAAAAAAAGTGCAAAAACGGTCTTTATACCATTCTACAGGTGTTAATATATATCACAGTGAATTACGGCTATGTTAATAAGCACAAATGCTTGGGTTTTCGCGGGATACCTTCTAAACTATCACGCAGAGGACATTGCTAGGAACTTAACCGCAGTTCGTTTTGTTTTTGCAAAGCATGTAAATATTAATTTGGCTGAAAAAAATGAAAAAGCTATACAATGAGTTTTTTCTTTGTGTGACACTAAGGCATGATTACATTCCGGAAGAATTAATTCCACACATCTCTGCATCTCGTTATATATGTAATTTCAAAATTCTGATTTAAGTAAGATAAATTAAGATCCGTATTCACAATGCACAACAAGCCTATGAGACCTGCTTCAAGCTTATTTCTTGACCGAAATGTAGGCCCTCTCATACGCTTCTTATATCACGCTGTATGTTTAGGCCTACCACTCTTAAAATTAACGAATCCTACCATAGATTAACAACAGCATACTACTCCCATTTGTGATAATTATGCCATTTAAATAAAATTTCCAAAACTATTGAGGAGAAAACATTAAAATTGAATGGGTCAGAATTCCAAGATAATATAAATATTAATGCCAATGAAAAAAAGAGAAGGAAAAGAAATGGACAAAATATAATTATCTCCAGGATTATTACACTCACCCCAAAGACTGGTCCGAGCATTCAGCCTAAATCCTCTGCTTTGTAGTACGACTTCTATATTTACTGATATTCACTGCACAAATACCATCTCTGTGTTGTCTACCATGACTGCTGATTTTGCTCTTATGCACGTGACAATGGTAGTTATGCGTCTATATAACAACGTGTTAACGCATGAATGATTGAGGTTTTTCATTGACCCAGTCGTCACGTGTGCCCTATATCCATTTGCAACATTTGTCTTAGATTCATCTGTAACAATCTATATTTTGTTCTGTCTCCCTGATTGCCTGATACATTTTCTCCCTAGGCTATTTTTTTTATTTAATATATTTAATTATTTTCCCTTAATATTTGACTTTTATATAAAATTATCATTTAGGAAATAAAGGATAGGGGAAAACAATTACACAACGGTATGTCTACCTAACAACAAAGTAGTTTGAAGACATTCCCGAAACGGAGAATTATAAAAAAAAATAGCACCGTCTTGGCAGCATTATTATAAAAGCTACATGCGACAGACATCCGCAGGCGTTGAGCCTAATATAGTTGCGTAGCGACCGCATTTTAGTCGTTGATCTTTTGTCGTGTGGGTTTCCATGGTAACTGGCGATGCCATTAAAAACACGTTACAATCAACAATGGAATCATTTTGTGAAGGCCGCGAAACAAGGCCTCGACTCACTGTCTGTTGTTAAGTGCTCTGGCAAGAATCAGAGCTGTACATTAACTGGTTTTCGGTCGTGAAGCGTTTCAACTTTGTATCACTATACGTGGAAGTGCAAATCCATTCATTGACAAATGTTACATAAAGAAATATGGAAATGTTACACGAAGAAATAAGGAAATATTCGAACATATCTTTGTCGGATTTGAGTACAAACTCTCACATTCTGTCCTGTCTTCCTCAATCAAAGCACAAGACGAATGCCTTCATGAATGAGGTTACTGTCAAGATGAAGTATATCAGATGGGCCTGCAGCGCTGTTGTTTTCAATTAATTAAATTCAATTGAATTCGTTTTATTGTCTACACTAAAAACACAGAAATTTGAGCACACTGACGTATCTTATAAACACTTAACACACACATTAATAGAAAAATACACTGATAAAATAATACAATAACAAATTAAAGTATGGCACACGTACGTGGCGTACGGTTAATTTGGATGCCGAAAGATCACGCGGACACAAATACAAAAGGCAGAATTATTCCAAAGTAGAAAACAAATCTACACTACAAGAAAATGGGGACTTCAACAATCTCAAATATGACATGAAAAGTTACTAAAATCATGAAATACTTGATATGATATTGAAAAACCAGCTCACCGGGATAACGGTGTTCTCCACAAGCCGAAGTTCTCATAGAAGGCTTCGATTGCAGTGTTCAGAGTTCAAAGTGGGAAAGGTCGTTTCCGAGTCCAAAAGTTGAAGTTTCTGTGTCCAATTCCGGTCATCAGTGTCTCAAAACTTTCCCATGGAGAAGTTGCTGGCAAAAGAGTAATGCAAAAGAACCAGTGGAATTTAACTTGGAATAATTTTTAGTTTGAGGTTACAGGTTGAGGTGGTGACTGTGTCCAATAAACCAGAAGTACGTTTTTACTTCACATGCTAGGTACAAGAATATTATATCTAGATGGCGCAGGCGTGATTGGTTAGCATGGAGGTTCAAAAAGAGAAATGCTGAATGTGTTTACTCAGATAAGCCACAAAAAAGGCAAATCAAGGGTGCGAGGTAATAAGCACAAACACGTGGCTCTTTGGTTTTTTTAATCATCTTCGCCCCTTTCAATTGATTGAGAAACTGATATTTGGCAATTTTGTTATGTACGTTGGAATAAATCGTAGTCATGTATTTTGCTGCATCAACGAAGACATTTTGAGCGAAAACTTTGTTTTCCAAAAATCTGACAAAAGCGGACTTAGCAATACAGTTCAAAGTAAAGCGATCGGTTTGATTTAAACGTAAAAAGACAAGTGAAAAAGCAACTCGGCAACTGAGTGGGAGAGCGTTGCCCGCTAAGCGGAATGCCTCGTGTCGTTCAAAACTACGCCCTCATGTTGAAAATAAACCGATTTTTTTTTTATAACTGCAAGACACGAGAGGGCGCTCGCCATCGTTATCGTTGTTGCGTTTTCGCAATCGTTGAGCCTGTTTCACCGTGCCTTTTGTGTAAAAACCGTGCACCTCGTTTATAAACACTATTTCCTGTAACTTTAAGGATATACTTCCTATAACATGACTCGTTTCTAATCCTGACAATAGGCCTCATTGTTCAAGCATGGCCAAAAAAAGATGTCAATGTTGTGTTTCAGAATCAACAATATTATTTAAGTATCCTCGGCTACAGGTTATATTCATTCAGACTTATCTCTCGGGGAACCATGACGTAAATGAATATTTTCATTTTTATACTTTATTTTCCTTCTTTCTTTCCTTTCGTTTTCTCTACAAATATTCGTTCCATTAATATGTTATCTTTTCGTGAATCATCAACAATGTCATTAAATTATCTCCGGTATGTATTGGTTTCATTTTGTTTTCATATTTCAGGCGAATGCATTTGCATAAATTAAACGGACAATTTCAATGTATTTATATTAACTTCAAATATTGCTAGATAACACACTGATTGACAAACATCGGCTACACCATAGGGAATGTTTGGTACGAGGTTCAAAATCATCCTGATTGATTTTGTCCTTTCAAAGCTGACCATGAGTTTGGAAAGTATTAGAAAATGAGCGAGCGATGGTATATCCTTGATTTGATTATCATTTGACCTTCTTATATTCCAGCGTACCTTGTAAACAAATAAATCCATGATTATGTAATTGACTGTCCTCTAACTAAATTAAGAATACCGTGCTACAATGGAAGCATGCAATGGCCAAAAATCACTCAATGCTAACGTTACTAGCAGTATTGCATGGTTAATTACCAAATATCGTATAGCGCCGCTATGAGGTCGCTCCACGTCGGCTATGATGATTTTCGGTTACAACGTACAGTATCATGTGGGATACCGTACAGTGACTTGATTTAACAGTGGGCGTTGCTTGTCATTGAAGGAGGGTGTATGATAAGCGAAACGAATACAGGACGTCATAGTTCTTGGAATCAATGACGATATAAACGCCTAGCCTTGGCGTCGCCAGGATTTTTCCAGAGGGGGGCAAAGCACATTATTTCCCAAAATCCTTGTAGTTTCTTTAGCATTCTTCTCGATTTATCATTTTTATCGAGCGTGGGCGGGGGACATTTGCCAAACCTCACCCCATTGACACCCCTGCGGACGCCCATGTTGTGAAATGAGCATTAAATTATCAGCAATATGACTTCGCACCCCTTTTTTGATTCCCTTTTGTTTTTTTTTGTTTTTTTTTTAAAACCTTTTCCGGGAGGGGGGGGGGGGGCGGGGGGGGGGGGGGAAGCGCCCCCTTCCCCCCTCCTGGCGACGCCCATATATAGCAACAGTGTTCAGACGTTTACATGTTGTTATGTAATTCAGTCCTAAGATGGCAATAAGCTTCCTTTGAGCACATAGCAATACAGCCAAAAGAAAATTGTACGACGACGCCATAAACGCCGATACGATGACGTATGACGATGTCAACACTGACACTGGCATTACCATAATTACCACCAAGTCTGTAACGCAAAAAAAAAAATTTAGAAGAAAACCTGGTTTTGATCATGCTTGAGTGATGATTGAAAAGCTGCAAATTGGTCGGACAAATTGTATATTTCTGTTAAGTGATGTCAAGCTCTGTTCAAATGACAGCATAACTGCTCCATAAAGATGCATTTCTGGTACGATGATGGAACATCCCATTAGCTCGCTAAAAGCTTTTGTAGTGCCTGACATCATCATCAACATCATTACATCTCCATTGGTAAAGCTAGTCATCCAGATAACCCAAGGACTCTTGCAGAGCCGAATCCCATGCATCTCCGCAACAGACAACAGTGGAGAGTGTATTGCATTATGCGTGAATGGCGAAAGCGAAAGGAAAACTCTCCAAGATTGCATACAGGTCGAGTCAAAAAGAAAGAGACCGAATTTGAAAAATAGTTTTAAAATATTTGGCTTGCTCCATTTCACAAAAGAACCCATAGATCTTATTGACCTTTAACTGTGAACATTTCACGTCATTTGCATACTCTATTCCAAAGTTATGTTTATTTCTATGACAAAGATCGCAAGACTCGGCTGTCCACCACTGATCATTTACCGAACCACGAACTGATGAATACCATTGAGTACAATGAAACATGGACGTTTTCCCACCTCGGTTAATGAACGAGAACATGCAAAGGAAAACATACCAAAATCGCCATCAATATTTCATAAAAAAGAGCGACTTGTTCCTCATATTCAAAACACAAAATCTGACAGTAAAAATAATGTTTCAGTCTTGATTTCAATTATTAAAATCTCATTAGTATTTGAATGCTTCTAATGGCATTCCATGGACAGATAAAAATGGGTTCTTTTAGCAAAACATGCATAACTTCTGATAGCAAGGATCAATTGAAGTAATTCTTTGTTTCAGATGAGTGGAAGAACACGTACGCTCTTGCTGTATCGAATTTGATTGGTTTTTAAGAAAAAAACTCTTTAATCGGGTCATTTTCTTTTTGACTCACCCTGCACCGTACATTCTTGGGGAAAAAGCAATTCTATTTCAATATTCCTTTTTCATGATGTCTCACCCAAACTGAAGGCTTTTTTTCGTTTGCCGAGAATTGTAAGTATCTGTACATCCCAACACATCTTTAATTGAGTGACAATTTCAAAAGATTTCAATAAAATTAAGCGAGGTTTTTTTCCCCTTCAGGATTTAAGTCCTTTTAAATTATGGGACGTGTAGATGTACTTAAACAAATGCGTCATCAAAGCGCCATGTGTCTGCAACCCATCGGGAAAAAAAAACACCTGCACAGCCTGAGACGACACAATAATTATCAAGAAAACATTCAAAGGAAATTTGGCATTTACAGGAAGTGTGACGGCAACAAAGGGACCTCCTGAATAGGTATGAGAATAATTGATTACTCCTCGAGGTTTAATTTTCGAAATGGTTCTCGACTCCGTACGCTTTTTGCAAGAGATAGATAGATAGAGAGAGTGAGTGATTTTAATGTACATGGATTGATTGTCATGATTGCAAATATTTGTCTCAAATCAGGAAACAGTCGTTTGTTTGCAGTGGTTTGCACAGACGGCAGGGACAAAATTCGTACACGAGATTATTTTAATTTCGCGAATGAGACACGGTCTCTCTTATACAAACGTTGCCACCCTTCCGCTACACTTCATAAATCAAAACAACATCAAAAACTGTCCACTGATAGAGTGCGACAAAATTTGAAAAAAAAAAATATTCGACAGAGATGTCTTAAACAAAGGGACAACACGAAAGCACACCTCCGTATGATTGCAGTAATAGAAAACATACCTACATGACTCTCAACTTGTTCAATGTCAGTGTGCAGCCATAACATCTGCGCGCAGTTTGAAAACCAATTACTTTGACTGTTGTGACAAGAGTGAGCACATTATGCATACAACTCACTTCCACCTGAGAAGCCATTTACATCGACAGAGGCTAATCGTATAGAAAACAAACCAAATTTCATTTCTTATGCAACGACATATATCTATTTTGTTGCATAAATACTCAGGTTCTTAATTGATTTATTCCACACACCCATTACTGATTTCAAATGCAAACCGCTGCAGAGAAAAGCCAAAATGGTTCAAGCTTTACAGAAAAGCGAAATAAATAAGGCTTCAATAAAATTATTATTGATCAATTTATCTTTTCGCCACGCGAGGCATACATTAACTCATCATGTACATATTTGATTGCAAAGGCCGATTTGGGAGGCATGGGTAATAAACAACTGTGATGTCTCCTTCGCGGGAAATAATGTGCCTTTCTGTGAGTGGTCCTCAATTTTCAGGCCACTTGTGTGAAGTACCTGCAGTGCATTTGTTCTATGACGAAACGGTTTTTTTTTCAAGAGATACTTTGACTTGGTGATGGTTATCAACAATCATAATTCAATACTCACAAAGCAATCGTTACATCGCGTTTCTGACCCTCTACTTATTTTCAATCCTGAGAGCCAGGCAGCAATATTTCAATTATCAAAATCTGGGAGACCACTGTCAGCAGTTCCTGTAAAAGGTAGTCATGGTATTTACTTTCTCCGGTTCGGAAGAGGAAAGGAGAACGGCTTATCAATTTATGAGTTACATTTTTCATACAGGGCGAGTCCAAAATAGAGCCCAGAAGAATCCTGCACAGCCAACAAATGAGGATCTAGCGACTTAGCAACAGTCGCAACCGGTATGGGATTCATAACAACTCACAACTGTAATTAACTCTTCCCGTTCGTCCAGAGAGTCATTCTAATTTACCGAACGTAATATTCCAAAGGAAATTGAGCCAAATTGATATTTTTATATTTACAGGTGTTGGAGTGCTCTTTTGATATGATGATGAACTTGCAGGCTTTTTTTTTTGACACCTTGCTATATATAATTTATGCATGAAAACACCTTGATGTGCACATGCATAATGAGGGTTCCACTGGTAAGCTTGGAATGAATAGTTTTGAGCATATAGAAACACGCTCAACAATGTTTGTGTTGAATCGACATCAGTGCTAAAGTTTTGGGTCGGTGATTATTGAGAAGCTGAATTGGCAACTGCGGAATGAAGCGAAATAACCATTTGCCATGTTGGGAAGAACGCTGGTCTAGACTTAGCTCATAACAACCAACTACATTATGTACATTCATAAAATGACAAATCTGATTGCAACGATTGCAAAAAAGAAAATGTGCTCCATTGTCTATGATGGCAAGAACGAGCGCAAAACAGGTTACTGTCAATGGGAATAATACGAAGTGATCAATCATCTCTTAATAATGAGAGGCACGCGACTTTCCGTTCAACTTTTATTTTACACTCGACACAGAGACAAGCTCTTTGATGAACGCCGTTTTTTTTTGGTTTACGTTTTTCTTTAACGATTATAAACAACCCATTCTCAGCCCTTATGACTGAGTCATCGAGGTAATAGGTATTATGAACAACATCAAAGGGTTGTATTAAACCTGTTGTATACAATTTGCTTATTTCCCTGCATGGCCACAGAAACATTAACTGTTGCGGTTTAATTGAGTAAAAGAGGGGAAACAAAAAGGGTTTATATCAGATCTGTGATAAAGGTCTGTGAAGTTGCCTTTATATTAGGTGCTCGGTGCTAGAAAAAACCCAAACAATCGCAAAATCATATAGTTTGATTTGCCATGGCAAGACAGATGATTTGTAATGGAAAAGTAGTCATCACCGTGCTGTAAAAACGAAAGTGTTTAGTTGAGACACGTGCGTAGATATAGGCAAGAGGTTTAATGCAGGAACCCGTGACGCTGTTAATTAAACGCCGCAGTATGTGCAGTGAAATGTAAAACTAGTGCACTTGTTTAATGGAGACAATTTGATACGACGTGCCCTATCGCGCATGCTCAGAACCACCCACAGAATCGGACACAACTGCCATCACCTTCATTCGAATCAAAAAAGCGATGTGACGGCTACAGAGATCCTCGCAGGTATTCGTTATTGCTCTGTGATTGTGACAGGTTGTGTCTTTTCGAAATGGAAAACGTAACACCGTCAGGAACCACCGAGAACGACGGGCCGGCGAGTAGCCAACTGGAACGGCAGATTTTAGCGGTGTTCTTGGGTCTCATCGTGGTGCTGGGTACAGTTGGTAATATGATAGTTATACTTGCAGTTCTCCTGTCCCACAAACTGCGTACCAAAATGAACCTGTTCGTGGTTAATCTGAGCTTTGCCGACTTTCTGACAAGTCTTCACCTGGTGTGGATCATTGTGGCCTTCCTGAGTGAGGATGGATGGCCGTTACCGGACGAGCTATGCGTTTGGTGTGGGTTTGTTCTCATCACCTGCATCGGGGCTAGCGTCTACACCTTAGCCTGTATAGCCATCAACCGTTTAGTTTTGATCCGTTATGGCCAAGCTGCCTATCGTATCCTCTGCAGACCTGTCATAATGATTGGTATGATCGCAACCATCTGGACCATTCCGCTCTTTATGGCATCAATACCTCTCATCGCAGACTTTGGAGAACTAGGTTACAGCAGCAGATACAGAACTTGTCTAAAAAACCACGCTCATAAATACGCCAAGGCCTACGACATTCTCCTCTCCCTTACTTACTACCCAGTCTCCACGGCAGTGATAATTTTCAGTTACTTTAAAGTGTTTCTGTATCTCCGCTCCCGCGTCAAGAAACTCGCACCGGGTGTTGCCGAGGCCACAGTGTCATCTGTGATGCAAGAGACCGAGCTTCGGAACCGGCAGGGGCAACAGGAGGCTCGACCGAACCTCCGCGTTAGGCTGGACAAACGACAGGTGCAAGTCACCAAGAACATGTTTTACGTGGTGTGTCTCTTCTTTATGTGCACAACGCCCTACGGTCTCACCCTCCTGTGTGACCAGCAAGTTTGTCTGCGTCTTGCCTCGTACGCCGCAGTTATCCTGTCTCTCAACAGTTGTATCAACCCCGTTGTGTACGCCACTAAACATCCCGATTTCAAGTTGGTGATACGCTGCATCTTAATGTGCCGATGGAAGAAGATCCCTCAGCGCGTCAAGTTTTTTGGTGACTCGTGAAACATAACATGCCGTCCAACTTCGTCATTCAGCCTGTCGACTCTTAGCAAATGTCAAAAAGAGGTTTAACTTCAGGCCGCTATCAGGCCTCGTTTTAATTGCCATTTACTGAAGCCAGAGACCTGATAGATTATGTCAACTTATGTCCAATTAACGATCTGTTTGATGCTATATATACACATCGCCGGTCGAGCATATGAAAGCATCAGTGACGTTTAAGATCACTTTATTGAGGCATACAACATGTTACGTATAATTATTTTTAGGCCACAGTCTCTTACCATTTTCCTATGAGACATAGCCGGATTTTGTTGTCTATGTTACAATCGGGATCCTAGACGTCAGACAGAGATATTTTCGTAAAGTGTTCAATAACATGTTCGTATAATATGTTCAGTCAAATGTTCTATCAGACAACACATTTTGAACAGCGGATAAAAAAGAGATGTTGCTGAAGACCTTTGTCAATCTTTGCATTCCATTTATGTGACTTTCTAATGTCATTTTGAAACACGTAAATTACGAACTCCAACAAGAGGAACTACCATTCTAGCTTTGTCTCTGTCGACTTATCAATATATAAAAAAATGTGCATCGTCAGCAAGATCAACAAGTGCACACCAATTTGATAAAAGTTGAGTTTAGCTCAACGAGTAGGGTCTAATAGATGATACCAATCCCTACCTCTGCTATCGTGTTAAGCTATGTTGCTAGATAATTCACTGATCATTGCTATATATTATAGAGCCTAGGGGCGAGCTTCCGGAGCCCTTGAACAGTAAAATTACGTGCAAAATTCCGGAATTTGCAATTATTTTTGGTTCACTGATTTCTTAAGAAAAACACCCCCGCAAAAGGCCTTTGTAAAATTATTCCTAGCATATCAATTCATTGATACTGATATATCGCCTGACATGAAAGAGAAACATCATGCCACAAATTGACCTCTCACTTCCGAAAATCTAAAATATGTGCAGAGAATAGTGCAACTTACACGGATCCATATGCCACTAAATCGGTGTACACGTAGATAAGAATTTCTGAAATTATTTTGTGGCTGTCATTATATGAAAACTGAAAGTGAAATAAAAGAGCAAGATGTCTTGTAGGGTATTCAAAATTGTGCAAATAAACTTAAAAGACTCATTAGTATTTATGAAAGGAAAAAAAAACACCCTGAAATTGACTTTTAAGAGGATTGCAACCACTGCCCAAGCCATCCCCACTAAATCTAGAACCCATCGGCTGTAGGTAAGTAAACCTTCGCAACGGTATACATTCTCGTTCTCACGCAAGTACACGATATGAAAACAAACGTGCACGAACAAGGAGACCTAGGAACGACAATGCATGGACGTGACACTGAAAGGTCGTAAATGAATTTTTTTAACCAATCTCCAAATGAGTTTTCCCTCAATTTTATTTGAAGAATACCAAGATAAATTCTTGGGGTGGTTACAATGAGAAATCCTTCTGCCAAAAATTAGACGGTGAAAGGGCTATCCAATGTAAATTGTTCATAGGCGGGCCGCGTGAGGGTTTCGCAAGCTCGCCACGTGACCTTTTGAACTTTCAGTTTCTATTGCCAAAGCCTTTAGGGGAGAAATGGTGCTATTGAGCGGAACGAAATATTTGTACGGTTAGTGGCCAACTATTAATCAAGCTAGTACAGGAACCAAGTTAATGACACAAAACTGAACGGTGTCATTATGCGTGAAAGTCTATCCTCGCTAATTCACAGGTCGCATTGTGCCCATGATCATCATTTATTTATTATTCATTTGTTATTTATTAGATAATGTTTCAGGCATGACAAAATACGTGACAATTAAAGTATACAATGTTAAAAAATGCATTACAAAAAATTACAAGTCACAACAAAGGAAAGGGGCAAAAGAACAAACGACAATTGCAAAGCTACAAGAAACTAGAATACAAGAAACATTAAATTGTACCATATTGTACCTGCAGAATGGTCTTAAAAGTCATATAAAAGAAGTTTTTGGAGAGGCTCCCCAACTACAATTTTTGTACGTGACATAATCAACAGAAAAAACACAACAAATAGACTGAGAGTCCTAGTACACACTGCATAACAAAAAAACAAGACAAACAAGGGAAGCAAATACAAATAGAAGACAAACACACAAAGCAGGATATGCATGTACACATAAAAAAGAGGGATAGACAAACAGAACCAAGCACATAGAATATAAAAAATAACAAACAAACAAACAACCTAACAAACAATCAAACAAATAATGACAAACAAGAGAAGCAAAGACACGCAGGAGACAAACACAAGTCATAAGGCAGGATATGCATATATGATAAAAAGGAGAGATAGACAGACAGACCCAAGCACATGGAATTTAACAAAAAAACCAAACCCCCCAACCCCCCCCCCCCAAACAGGAGATAAACAGACAAGGTTGGATTTGCATGTGTACACAGAAGATTGAAAATCCAAACACAAGTACCAAAAAAACAAAAAAAACAAATAAAAACACAGCATAGAGGAAACAAAATAAAAACCAGCAAAATAGTATATTAAAAAAAGTTGCAAAAGTGCATGTTATATAATGGAAATAACCTTGTGATACCTTTCTGTATTTCTCTAATTTCCAACAGTGAAAATGAAATCCAGGCGATTTTGAGTGAAAATAACCCTAATTGTATAGACTGAAATACTCTGAAAAACAAAAACAATTAATCAAGTGGAAACCTAGTGAAAACTCAATCTATTCGATTGAATGAATTTCAATCTGAATCGTCTGGTGCCCAGTTTCACTCTGTGACATGATATTCAATTGAATTATAAGAGAGTACATGAACTATATTGATTTTGTATGATGCTATTCACGCAATAATGCATCACTGCACAGCATCATACACACTCCATAGATGATGATGTTGTTAGCATCACAGTGAAGCGTCTTCAAAGCATTGACAAAGCGAAAAACACTTCACCTGTAACTGGCCATCAATATGACACGTTACTTGTCACCAATTGCTTTACGTGAAATGCACCATTATTTTCCTGCGAGACATTTTTTTAAGATCAGAAATTGACAAGTTTGTCATGTTAAACAAAGCTTCGGTAACGATCCATGCAAGATATGACGGATAAAACAACAATTACCAACTGGTGATAATAGATTTATCTGATGAAATAGAGCGACATAATGGTATTATTTTTTTATTGGTTAATAGCAAAGTCAGACTTAACGCTTTTTAATACTAACAAAAGGAAAAGTACAGAATATCTGCATTCCGTCCTCCGCCTTGATCGTAGATATTCACGTAAATAGCGTTCTTTGTATCTAATAAAGTTGTTTCAATTTGCTTCAAGACCCATCGCATGGGCTTTGTCAATTTGTCTTGCCTAAACAACCTGCCTTTTGCGCCGCTTGTTTTTACTGCAGCCGTGAGAGCACAAATGGAACAGGCTGACAGCGTTGCTTTTCTTACTAGCTGATGAGTGTAAATAATTGCTCGGAAAGTGAAAGGAAGCACATAATTTGAGTAGGGACATGGCTGTATTGGTGTAGAATACGAGCACGTGCTTAATCTCCCAGATAGAGGTTTACGAGTATAAATTATCAGCATAGAACCTTGAAATCGATATATATTTTTCAAAAGCCTATTCATCGTCAATATCCGCATACCATTTGAGAAAGCCGTTGGCGTACAGTAGCCATAAACTAATTGACGCTTTTATTTAGGAAGCTGGAAATGGGAAGGGATCATGTGGCTTATTTTGTGCCTTGACACGCTGTGGCGACGGTGAAGGCGATGGCGGTGGGTTGGAAGAGCGGAGGACGCCATGCGGAAACTGCCAATTTAATACCACTCAACCTGTCTGGGATGACCTTCTTATAATAATGTCCTCTGAGATCACTGTATGCGAAATGATGATGATGCGACTATATGTTTTGCCCAAACAAAACACGTCAAACATCAATACTATACGTAAAAAGTTAGAAAAAATATATGCTATTTTGAAGTAAAGCATAATGAGATGCAGCGTTCTTTTTTTATATTAGAGGATCGTATCGGTGAAATCTTTCTTTGAAGTTGGTATTCACCTCTGTGACTTTGTGAAAATCAAATAAAATGCATTCAAGTTGGATATTTGTGTCTTCAATGTTCTCTTTATATCTCTTCTTCGATTTCCTCTTATGAAAAGTATGCTCTTTTAGAACTCTCCGTACATTATCGTATCAAATATAAATGTGTGGCTTTACTATCTAAATAATACATTTGAATTAGACTGGAACTGGACCCAATTAACTTTACCAATATTGACCCTTTTTGTTTTAGAAGGCTTTTCGTATTATGGATGTGTCTGGCAAATCATCCCATTAACGCACAGCGCAACATCTATAATAACGTCGACGCTACACGATGTCTGAAGCGCGGCTCGGTCACGGACACATGTCATTTATCACAGAAGAACAAGTACCGGTGACAAGAAATAGGATCGAGAATTGGAAATTGCTTGCTAACATATTGCAATCTTCTTTTATTAAAGACATATTGTATTATTCTGTGTGATATGAACACTTTTGATGCAATAGTCACTCCAAGCAAATTTATACTTATCAAAATAGTTGAACTTATCAAAATAGAGTTACAATAATGTCAGCACGATTTGGTGCTAAATTATGGAAATGCAACTTTAAAACAACTGATGAACAACTCAATGATGATTTTTATGATTTTTTCTTATGGAGGGTATTTGGCTTAATATTTTTGTTAATATCATCATGTTTTTGTTGGATAGCAAGTGCGAACAAAGAAATGAACTCCTCTCATTCCTTCATCCCCCCATCATTTCATGTGAAGGATGGTTGGAGACGCCGGACAAGTATCTCCGGCATGTCTCCAAATCAATCAAGAAAAGCTCGAGACTTAACGGTCATATTTTGTCAAACTGGAGTGGCTTGTCACAAACGAATTGAGCGGATGACAGTAACGATGTGACATCTATGATAATTCTTTTAGTCGATTTCGCCATTTTACCGAAGGAAAGAGCTCGCGGAATAGACGTTGTTATACGGTTCCAAGGAGACATATTTGTCTCACCATTCCTTTACATTTTGATATTAAAAGGATGTCATGAAGGACAAATGTAAATAAGAAATTTACAAATTTTAACATGTTTTGCATTTTTTTTCTATAATTGATAATGTGAGAGGCACTCGAAAGCAAGCCCACATTTGCTAGCGTAGGCCAAGTTATCATTCCTATTCGTTTTTTTCTTTCAATGCGATTTGTGCTTCAAGAATCCAAAATCAATTATATTTATAGGAAAACAAAAACTGCAACTTTACGTTTTTATTGTTTTTCGCTTAAAAGAGGGAAGAAATTTAAGTAATTGCTTCAGTAGTGGGTCGGGGGAGGAGAGGGGGGGGGGGGGGGTTGGCAGCCCCCGTTCAGCCACTGATTATAATAATATGTTACTACTAAAATGGGGCCAAAAATAAGAAGTGGGCTGAAAAAGTTGCACACAAAGTTCCTAAATTTATTCTTAAATTGCCATAGTATGCAGGGGGAGGGTGTGCCTTCACCCCCATATCAACCCCTCCCCTTTCCTGGAAGCTATAGATCCGCCCTTGAGTTGTATGAAACATGTCACAACTCTACTGATGCACTGAAGCCAAAACAACACAAATACAGTTCAAAAAGGTGAAGAAAATAACTGGAGATGTGAAATAATGTATGCTGCTTAAAAACAAACAAAAACAAGATGAAAAGGCCTTTGGCCACACTAAGACTTTAATATAAATTTAATCGTTAAACACTTTCTATTTCATTTTAGTACTTGTACTTTTCAACTTCAAAGGGAGTGTTCAGACGTGCATGAAATTGGCAGACGTTCGGATTGAACGAAGGCCAGGTGTAGCATGGTGATTATTGGTTACATTCTCCCATGTGTAAAATAAGAAGGAAAGAATTCAGTATTCATGATCGATCCGCCAGTCAGTTGCAATTATTTTACAGTGCAGTATGAAGTGAGGTGTTTAATTTGCAGCAGACACACACACGTCACCCATGCTTACGCGCGCGGAATCCATACACGCTTGTAAGGAGAAAACCGGCAATCTTCTCAATTCAAGGAGTCAGAAATTACTGCCAATTTCATCAATTACTCTAGAATTGAAGCCACCATTTCTTAAGCTATTGGGCCATAGTATGAGATATGAGGAACGGAAGATTGCACGTTTAAGGGTCGAAAATCCTCAAATATGGAAATCTAATTTACAGAACCTGGACAATAATTGTTACAGGATAAAGCTTCTTCGATTGAGGACAGCATGGTAGCTCATTACACTATGGACTGATTAGGCCAGTATAGCATGCAGCATATGCTATATTCACGAGTCGGCCATATTAAATTGAAAGCGAGGTAAACTCTTTGGTTTTTGGAACTTGCGAATAGAAATGAAAGCAATGACATGAAGTTAATTACAAATTAATACCAGTCTGCTCCGATGGATGATTCAAACATTTGTGATTAAACATACCTAATGTTTTACAACAGAGAATGAAATATTTTAGAAAAAGGTGAATAATTATCTAGTGAAGCACCATCTTTCTACTACGCACATCCCTTTACAAAGCTTAACTTGTCCCCTTGCTGTGCTATCCAGCAATATGAATGTAGAAATGAAAACAAAGCGAACTCGGAAATGCTGACACAGCCGTTGTCATTTGGGGTTCTAGCTCAAAGTTCACTGTCAGTGGCGGAAGAGAACTATACAAGGCAAAGAGAGAGGCAGGAAGAGCACATCTTCATGTTCTTGAATGTCAGGCGCAATTATTGACCAGATCGTCACCAGAGGTGGCAAGTGCATTCTGAAGTAGCGGCAAGGGGTCGCTCATGTAGAATTTCACAGTGAGAGGAGAACCTTTTCAGCAAAGTAAAGAGAACTTGGTCACGTTTTGCTCTTTTCCAATCTGGGTCGTAACAAGGATTGGCAAGTGCATTGAAGAACATGTAACGCAGTTGGAACACGTACAACATGGCAAATGGAACGAGGGTCTGTGAGGAAGTGCATTACAGAAAGGGGGTTGCTGACAGCGCATTTAATCAGAAATTTATATGGAATAGCGCGTTTGGAGAGTAATGTTCCATCCTACTTCTGGCTTCACTTGATGATATATACAAAGTCTACGCGCCTGTTATTTGCCTCCTACATTTGGACGAGTTAGACAGACATCGGCAAGTATACTCGTAGGAAGCAGTTTGTACGGGTACCCAATACTGGATCCATCATGGCCGTGACAAGTACACAAATCTCGTGAAATCTTTGAAGGCTCTCCAAATAATGTAACAGAGCTAAAAGTACCAACTTTTCGATACCACCTCTTTTAAGCCAAATGAATCACGCGTTTACAAGAATTATGAAGACTACTGACGTTCCTAGTGAGTCAAATACTGGCTTTTCAGGTTCTGACGTTAGACCTTTTATTCTGACGAGTCAAAGCGAGACAAGTAAAATGCAATCAACACAACACGAGCAAGCCTGACACTACCAAAGTCCACATGCGTCAATAAATGCGAATTGAAACAATCTTGGATTTAATAACAGAAAAAGCCATTAAAAGGCTTGCCAAGCCCCAAGTAGGAGCACGTAGGCTCCATCGACCCGGCCATCCACAGAACACCACATCTTATTGCTTTATGAACAAGGGTTAAAAATCATCGTCGAAATGTTATTAAATTCAGGAAATAATGATACTAATGAAGTCCTAGGTGTCTAAAGGGAAGCATTTTGTTTTCGCCGGGGTCATTTTGGATAATAAATGATCACACTCCTTCCATTTCAATATTGGATTACTGTTTAATCAAACTCAGTTTACCTCCAATCGACCGGGGGTCAATGAAATTCAAACCTTTGTAAGCACCATGTATCCGTTGGTAGGCCTATTATTGTCTTAAGATAAAGTGCGTACACCCCATGAAATCACCAACTAATCTCGGATGAAATTGAATTGAAACTCGAGACACCTGACCTTCTCTACAAGATCCAAGATGGAAGCAGTATAGTTGGATACGTGCGTGATACCCTGCTCAGTCAAAATAATGAATAACTTCCATGACGACTAAAGGCCAAGAGAGTATTGTTAAGAAAATCTATCGTTAGCCTAGAAAAAAAAATCCATTTAATTAGACTGCAACATAAATTATGTATCAAGTGATATTTCGGCTGGCATTGTAGAGCTCATTAAAATTTGTATGTGTAATACTCCATGGAATTGGTGTCAACAAGCAGATCACAATGGATATCGCATAAGACCATCTGTAAATGCAAAAAGCGATTCCTGAAATAGCTTGGTCAATGTTTTCTGAATTAAGAGCAATATGAAATACAAAACAAAATAGCCAACAAGGGTCAGTGATATTTTTTTAAAAGTTAATACGAGTCACGAAGAATATAAACCGTCTTGTTGTTAATAACCGGATACTGCTAATGGCGTTGCCGCATAGATATTCCATCAGACTCGTGTGCTCCATTATGACAGGTCTTCATTTTATAAATGCCATTCCCGCCCTCAATCTATCAAGCTTAATCATGTCATTATCTCGAGCACTTATACGCAGCACTAGGGCACTCATATAGAGGGAATCTATCCCTTAAAGGGACTGATCTAAAACATGAAGGTTGATATAAATGGAGAGTCAGTTGCCATGCATAAACAAAACTAAAATCTGTTCACTCAGAAGATAACAAAGACTTATAAACGAGCTCATCTGCTGATGAGATACTTTTTAAGTGATCAGAAGTTCTTCAAATGCAATTGATACTTTAGTGTAGTTTGTAACAGTCTGGACACTGAAAAGATATGAATACAGAAGAGATGAATGACTTTTTGACAGCACAATACAAGATTAATCTTCCGAAAGATTTTAGTTTCACGAATTTCACATGACAGCACATTCGTCCTTGTCCTTGATAATGTTTTTATAAAATGAACTTACTTTTTCAGGTGGTGTTTTTTTTTTATTGCGCAGAATTGGTCCTTGCCAATGACGATTTAATTAGGAAACGAAAGGATGAGTGCTTGCCAAGGATCTCTTTTCCTTCTTATTTTTAGCCAAAAAAAGAGGAAAAAAAAGGAGGTAAGAGATATTTGTGACTTATAGAAAGCTCTTCGTCTGGTAATTCCGGAAGGCAATACTTGAATCAGACATTGACCCTGAGAATATAGAACACACACAAACCCTCACCATTCGCTGTATCGTGTTCCCGAATGACTTACACCACAATCGATCACAGGGTCACAGATTTACAGTCACTACGTCAATATAGTTTTGAAAATAAGTATTTTCATAGGGAGAAGAACTGCGCATGCGCACGTTTCTTTCAGCCGCACGACTCTTACAAGGATGTCACATAGCGGCATACCGGCAATTCGTCTAATCAACTACAAATCGTCTTTTGTGACAATCCCTTCGCGAGCAGCCTATCAAGGCAAAAGTTCCAGTTGATAGGGCCAGTATGAAGGGTATGGCAAGTGAATTTGCCTTTCGAGTGTATTGATACTGGTAGCATCTTTGATGGATGAGTACCGTCTTGAGTGAGGGAGATGAGGGATGTTTAGCAGATGAGTAGCTTCAGTCAACAAGCAGACGCGGGTGGCGATGGCTCAAAACTACTCCGGTAACGACGGTGAGCCATTTCTGCTTAAGGAGGTAGAGCGTCCCATCATCGGTGCACTGCTTGGTATCATCTCTGTCTGTGCATTCTTTGGTAATGTCCTCGTCATCCTATCCTTCGCTCTGTCTAAGAAACTCCAAAACACAACCAATGTTTTCGTGGTGAATCTAAGCGTGGCTGACTTGATAACCAGCGTTTGCATCACAGTCAACGTGGTGGCTATTGCAAGACCTCAACACCTGCCTGATTGGATCTGCGTATGGTGCGGCTTCTTCAGCGTCATCTGCGTCGGCTGCAGTGTCTACACCCTAGCCTGCATTGCCGCCTACCGTTTCAACGTCATCTCAAAAAGACAAAGGCAATTGAGTAAATCAGCCAAAGCCGTAGTGATCTCGGTGGTTGTCGGTCTGACTTGGTTTACACCCATTACAGTGGCCACTGTTCCTTTACTCTTCGGTCTGGGCGAGTTTGGCTACAACACCAAATACAGTTCCTGCACGTGGAATTCCTACATGAAAGACACCTACGACTACAGCTTGATCCTGTCCGCATGCTACTACCCAGTCCCTATGCTGGTCATCATCACCAGCTACAGTAAAATTTTCTTTATCCTTAGAAAGATAAAGAAGCGAGTGAGTCCGGAACTGGCTGTACCAAGCGAGCCATCAAGTGGTTTGCGTATTATGCGCCACGCCCAGCGAGCACCGTACGCGCTGGAGAAAAGACAAGCTACAGTCACTAAAAACATGTTCTACGTTGTGTGTGCCTTCCTGATATGCATGACACCGTATTCTATGGCTCTGGTCTTTCCCGGTAGCGACAGGTTCATTCCGTATTCAGCTGTAATCTTGATGCTCAGTAGCTGCGTTAACCCGACCATTTACGCCACCAAACACCCAGATTTCAGCAAAGTCATGAAGAAAATCGTTACTTGTAACTTCCACAAAATTCCACATTATGTATTTAGGTGAACAGCCTACGAACGTTATTCGAAAACAACTGTCATGATTCATGAAGTGAATGTGTGTTTAATTTGCAAACTGATGCTACTTAATGTATAAATCGCACACTGAGAACACTATTACTAAATACACGGATTAAATTGTGTAAGAGACGTGCTACACAGTCAATTTCCAGCCAAAGTGCTGTAAAGATGAACTATATAGGATGTTAAAAGTTTCACATGAAAGTCAGGATTTAGGAAAGCTATTTGTTAAGCGAACAGTGCTGACAACCGAAGAAAAGTCAAAAGAAAAAACCCCGAAATGTATAATTGAAGACGTTACAAAGTGCGTGAGCGCTACGATGACCGACGAAGCCTCGCTCAGGAAAAACGTAAATGAAAGGAAAATGAAAGAGTAAGGAAATCTGAAGTAACCAAAACAATTTGGAAATGATTTCGAAGAACTCTAATGGAAGTAAAGGGGCGTGAAACTGTTTTGTTGGTACAATTTAGATTACAGATGCATAACAACAGACACTTAACATCGCGCTCTGTTTGGGGTTAATATCCATTTCTTTTAAGAACTCAGCATTAAGATGTTCAAGTGAGTACTATCGCAAGAGACCTTTTACTGCCTCTCGGGACATTTAGATCCTCAAAGAGAAGCTTCCTTTCAAAACACTCACGTTCAAAAGAAATCATTATTATTCACTGAACAAAAGCAATGTGTCCCCATGTTTACACTTCCTTCTCATGCATGTTACGCACCCTTTTCACCTTATCGGCCCCCTCTGACAAATTCAAAATGTATTTATTGTTCTCCATTTTTTTTAAAAATTGTTCTCCATGCATGGTGAACAATAACCCTCCGCACAGTGAAGCAAGATTACACAGAGTCGTTTCCCCCCCCCCTTTTTTTTTCAGTTTGTGGCCTGGGGATTTCATCTGCTAATTTGTAGCACTTCCGAAACCCACCTGCGTTCTATAATCAAATCGTAAACAAGTCCCAGAATTTGTGCCGTCTTTACCCATCACAATGTAGCCACATGAAGACACCTGATGCACTTAATTTGTCCGGAAGTGCAGACCAATTGTTTGTCTCCCCAGCAGAGCATCGATTTTTTTTTAATCCAAATATCCATGAACAGATTCAATGCAGAATGAAATCATGCGAAAACGATTCAAGGTTTCAAGCTCAATATTAACCGTCTTCGATAATGGCCGTGCGGTCGAGAGAGAGAGAGAGAGAGAGAGTCGTTGCAAGCCAAGAGAGTCAAAACAATCCCCAAATTGACGGTGCAATTACGGAAAACTCGACTCGCGCGCGGGAGAGTAAGACCTAAAAACCTTCATTTGGATCGAAGTTCCATTCCGATTCAGTGTTGCGAATTAACCCATTGACTGCAAAAAGCTGCCAATGTTAAAACAGCTATACTTATTAAAGAGAGTAAATAAACGGCGTAGTACCAGAAGGACGCAAACATCGCAGTGGAACTTGAACCATTCTTAATCACTGAGTCTAATACAAAAACACCAATCAGACTTGACTTTATAAATGTAAATAAATTGATGTTTCGTAACTGTACCAAGTGTCATTGTAATATAAAGTCGTTACCGAAAAAGGTAAGCTTTGTTATTGCGCCATAAACATTACGGCAAAATATTTTTTTTTTTTGCAGAATTGTGATTGTTTATGCACTTTGAAGAAATTCCACAGATAAGAATGATTTTACGTCTCAGTTCTTCATTAGCCTAATTGTCATTTATTGTATTATACGTAAAAAGTACATGTATCTGTCATGTACTGTGCCAAGCACTATTCTCCAATAATCACCACGTCGGCTTGTATGTGTGTGAAACCACTGTGAAACCACTATGGCTCGGTACAGAAACCGCCTATATTCATGTTTGTTCGATTCATTAAAGGGAAAATACAACATTTGCAAACATCAAAAAATAAAACTACAAAATCACTTTGAAATACCTTGCTGGACTGTTTGTGAATGACAGTGTAAAGCATCCTGTAAAATCATGGCACCTGGTATACTGTTATTTTCAAGAAAAGCTGGTTTTTTGTATCAATTTCCAACGCTGATCGGCCGATCAGCGTTGGAAACAACTGGCTTTTTTTTTCAAATACTGGCCCCAAATGACCATCGCACTTGTTTGCAATCGATTACAAACCTATGAACGGGTACGAGCCAGCTAGACTGGTTCCCTGACCTTACAATTCCCCAATGTATGTAAACTGCTCTGTTTCTTCTTATATGGAGTCAGGGAACCAGACTACAGGAAAATGATCGTTTTACTTGGTTTTTATAGCATTTTCGAACCCAAAACCTCAAAAAAGTCAGTGTAACTATATTTGCTATATATTTCCAACCCCCCAATTCCATCCATTTCTGAAAATTACAGCAAAAGCAAATGATGTATATTCCCTTTAAACTATAGAAAAGAAGACAGAATCGTGCTTCCTAGCCATGGAAATAGGACAGTGTGTTTTAATTGTTTCACTTTACTTCACTTTAATGTCAACATAAAGGTACAAGGTCGGTTGAATGTCGGTAATATTACCATTATAAAATGCATGTGGACGTGGGCCCTAAAAAGCAAAGCTTGTCGAGTAGAGGCCCCCCAGTTACAATCATAACATAAAACAGACCCCCCCCCCCCCGAAAAACTCACAAACACGTAATAGTAACATTAGTGATAATGACATGATTAAGACGTACAGTAGCCTGTATATAGCCTATATGGCCTGCGTAAGCAGGTATTCAAGTCACTTACTGTATTATGTTTGCATTGTATTTGTTAGGAGTCCTTTCATAATTGTCAATTCATACATATTTCTAAAAACTTACTCAGACAGTAAATAGTAATCAAGTCGATTTTAAATTACAGAAATGCTGAAACTGTGATGGTTTAAATTTCAGCAGATAGACGGCTGTTTCATATTGAACTTATTTATAACTGCCGGAGTCTCCATACAGAGTTTGGAATTTTGCTTTTGAAACGGACATATTTATCTTTTGACTTCAAGAGTTACAGTGAGTTCGGGATCCATGTAATGTCACAAATTATCATTGATCGGTGATTAACTTTTCATTAAAGAAATCATGAAATCAATTTGTAATTGCCGATTGTTTGGCACAACAGGTTTTAGTTTTTAAGAGTGAAGAATTGAGGAAGATGAGTTGCTTTTTGCGTTTTCACAAAATAGGCAAATGACACCATTATCCGGGGCAATGTTAGGCACTTGGGGTAAATTTTTATCGAGCAAAGTTGAAATTCATTGTCCATGCGTGGCTTTGGCCTTCTGTGATGTAACGGATAGCACTTCAGCTACTAATAACGAGGTTATTCAGAAATCTAATCGATCCGGTGTTTGTAGAACGGAAGAAAGGAGCTTATCTACAGTTACTGCCGGGGTAAAGAAGGTCATTACACAGGGTACAATGACATGGACAAGTACTCAAATAATTAAATTATTATCGATCTTTTTGGTAAGTGAGATTCCCGTGTGACTTTTCTAATCAACTTTATTAAATTAAATAGCACTGTACTACAATAAGTTTCTTGATAGGAATGAAATGATTAAGCCGGGGCTTTGTTTAATTGCAGACTATATTAGCAAGAATCTGTATGCGAAAGCTTATTTGCGCAAGGTTAACCGTTTAATCAATTTTACTGCAAGTACGACTATTTGTAAAAAGGTGTTAATACTTGAATTCAGGGTTCGACGTTAGCTGTAGTCCTTTCGCCAAGTGCGACAGACTAGTCTGCAATCATTCCCTAAGGAGTCCGCCTAGCGATTCAAAATTATTGTAAATAACATTGTATTGTTTTTTTCAATGACATTCTGGTGCAAAGATTGAAATTCTATTGCGGACTTAGTGAAAAGGCCCGCAGGGTAGATAAGATTCTGGTTCATTATTCCGGCTGGCTAGTGGAAAAAACCCGTTAAGGGCGAACCTGATAAATGTCTTTGGTTATTCAATAATTCAGATTCTTTTTAAAAATGTCAATTACATCAATTTTGTCCAGAACACGGTGGCTTGAACGTTTGAAACACACGCCTCTCTCAAGCTTTTCAAGCCCTAAAAGAAAGGAAAAAGTGTTTATCTTCAATTCAAAATATTTTGCGTCCAGCGACCCGCAAGACTCTTAAAATAGCCTATGTCAACAGGTTGAATAAATCTGTATTCACCGAATGCATCGACCAAGCTTCGTTTCCATGGAAACGAATTTACCTCAAAACCATACGCAAGAAGCAGCTAACAACGACAATCTGAATGCAAGAGGGCGCTGTACAGTTTCAACCTCGCACGACTTTAGATAACACAAATGTATGTCAGATAATACACACAAAGAGCGTATTTGGCTGTACAAGTTTTAAATCCTTGGGGGGGGGGGGGTGATGGTGTAAGGGGGAGGGGGAAGGTGCCGCAATTTCGTGCTTTCAAGCCCGTGCTCTTTCTGGAGATAATAATGATTTTCATGAGGATTGCTGTTAATGTTTTTTTTTAATGGTTGAGGACACGTCGATCTGCATGTTATGCTTGTTCTTGGTGGCGCTATTTCCAAGCACCAGCAGCGAGATTTGCAAGAGTGATAGATTTTTTTTTTGAATAGCATGATGTTGACAGCTTCTTTTTTGGATCGCAGTTTGTTTACCATCCTCAGGTAGCTTACCTCCGTTTCGTAATAGAGGTTTTTTTTGTAAAATAAGAATTAAAACAAACTTTGAAACTTATGAAAAAAATAAATTAGACCTCAGCTTTAAATCAATTGATTACGGAAACATCTACCAATGCAGCCAAAAAAAACCAACTTGAAACTAGTCTTTGTATTTATAATTAATTTTCATTATCAATATGATCTCGCGAGACTCTGCAGACTCTACTAAGCATTTATCGACAATAAAATACACATTGCTGAATTAGATAAAACACAAATTGACAAAAGAATTCCGTTGGGTTGTTACAATGAAAAAAAGGAAAACCTGCTGGTGTCTATCACTCATCATCA